CCTCTCCACCCACGTCTCCGGGGGCTTGAACACCTTTACCGGCAAGCCCTTTGCAGCCATATCCTTGGTTGCCTCCTCCGCCGAGCCGTAGATTCGGGTCCCGTCTTGGAAAAAGACTCTCAGCTTGGCTGGGAATGGGGTCTGAAATCGTATTTTTTTCTCCCGCAGCACCCGTTTTGCCTCCACATATTCTTTGCGTTTTTTTAGCACCTCTGGGGAGTAGTCATGATTCTGCTGCTTTTTCATGCATTTAGACTTTTATTTTCTTGTTCTTATTTCACATTCAAGTCCCCTCTATTCATGAACCCTTTAAAGTACTCAGCCACACCACTTATATACCAGGTGCGACTGTTGCTATGTGAGTTAATCTTTCAAATACAAGGTTGCTTGTTTGATTCAAGCTCTTGTAGTCAATATGTCAAGGTATTTATCCCTAACATTTTATCAGCTAACTAATGACACACACTCAGAGGATCTTTATAAACGTTTTAAGTATTGCACATCTTTAAACATGACTCTCATACATCACTTTTAAAACCAGCGATGCACTACAGCAGGGGTTCTCAAATACAAATCTTAAAGGTCCAAAAAAAAATGTTTCAATAAGACAAAGGTCCGTTTATTAGGGTCATTCAAACTTTTAAACAATTGCAACAAGATTCTTAACATCTTCAACAAACTCCCCCTTTGCCTCATCATAAAAACTCACAAACACCAGCAACTGAGCATTGTCAGTGGTGTCAGTGGACTCATCCACAGCTAAGGAAATGCACTGTGCATTTTCTATTCCATCACAAAGCTGATTAATCAAATCACCAGCCAGTATTTATGTTCTTCTGGTTGCTGTGGAATCTGAGAGGGGGATTTGCTTGATTTGACCTGTTATTTCCTCTTTTTGTTTGCCTTCAAACATGGTCTCCATCACTTCAGTCATGCATTCTTTTATACTTCAGTTATTATCCAGTGGAATGTCCTTACCTACTGGCCTAGTTAAATCAAAGTGGTTACTTTTTTTTGGCTGGGCAGTGTAGTTTTACACACCGTCTTATTTGACTTTCTCAGGACTTAAAAGAAAAAATATATATTTACACACGTAAGGTCATCATCTTAACAGTGTTGTATGCTCATCCGTGAGCAGAGCATCAAGTTGACATGCCTATTACAGCTGAATGCGGCGATTACCATTTTGTTCAGCAAAACACTTCACAAACTTATTAAGATCCAAAGCTTTAGTGCGTTTTGATTCAATGCTGAGTACAGCCAAACTTGACAGTCTCTTCTCTGTCATTGTAGACCGCAAATACCTTCAGTACTTGGGTCAATCATATTTCCACGCTCGCGCCAGGGCCGGGGGAGGGTTTACAAGACGTGCATCTTGTGCTGCATTCACTTGCACTCGGACATTAGAGACTTTCTCTCATAAATGTCAGATGAGCCACAACTTTTCTTTCAAAACAAAGCTGCCAACTGGGGTGGCAGCTTTGTTTTGAATGCCACCCCATGCCACCCCGGTAGGTGAAACTAGGCTACTAGCTACAGTACAGATGCAACTAGATGAGCTGTTAACTCTCGCTCTGACTCAGACAGGTTGAAAGAGACGACACACACATTTTTCCCACCCACATTCCGCGAAGACCCGCCCTACTGTGCCTGACGGGATGCTGAATGTGATTGGATCAATGCGTTGACAGACACACACAGACAGTGGAACAGTCGGAGATGCAGAGCGCTGTTTGCAAGTGGACATAGCGGAGAATTTTGACTCGTTGCGTTGTGGCGATGTCTCGCAGATAACACAGATAACACAGATAATACAGATAATACATATGAAAAGTATAATTTGCTCAGAGTCCAGAGACAGTTGTGGTTCGGTCCGGATCCAGACCGGAGTCCGGACTTTGAGGATGCCTGCACTACAGTGTCAGCTTTTCTAAAATAGAAACTTCAATGTTCACATCTTTCTAAATGATTCTACTTTTCAATGACCTACAAATAATCCTAATAATAATCCCATTTTCAATCTTCCAACTGTTCATATTTTTTGGTCAATTAACAAACCTGTTACAAATGTGTTGTTCAACAAATTTGAGCCTTTGCCACTTTTATTTGATCACCATGGAAACCTTTGATCTCTGGACACGTCGTTAGCTCAAATATAAACACCTGTGACATGGAACACGATGATGTCATAACTCCAATTGACATGCTCAGAGCAGCAGACTTCAGATAATGGTTAACGGTCCTGCCCTCAACAGCTCTACGTCAATTATGGGGTTTCATCATATGCCGTTTCCTAGGAAACGCATCCCTCGCCATAAACGACGATGTCGCTATAACTCCTATGAAAATGTTCAAAAAGTGCTCAAACTTCACATGTGTGCTAACAGTCCAGCCATGAAGACATCTACAGGACAGTTTTGAGATTTCTTCAAATGCCGTTGCCATGGCAACACAATACTCGCCATGTAACACGGTTTTCTCATAACTTCAGTGAAAATGCTCCAAATGGCCCAAAACTTCACAGGTTTGGTAACGATGCAGCCATCAACGCATCTAAGCATATTATGGGATGTCATCAAATGCCGTTGGCATGGCGACAGATAATTCACCATCAAGATAGTTCAAAAGTTTGCAGTTCAAATATTCTGCTGCTTTTTCAAGCCTTTTTACTTTATTTTCTTCTCTCATCACACATTCAAGCCCCCAGTGTTCATGTATCATTTCAATCTAAATTCTTCACTTTCTTCTTACACATTACATTTCAGCATAGCAATTCAGCGTCAGCTTTTCAGCATAAAGCATTCCCACTAGCAATTTCTTCAGGAATTGCATTCTCTAGTTATAGTAGTTATAGCAGCAGGTTTTGCAATATGTTTAATGTATGTATTAGTTAATTTAATGGGACAGTGCACATTAATAAACATTGCTGTAAATAGCCAAGAGGCTATTTTTCATCTTTAGTCCCTGGACAGATGTTTCAAAGTCACCCTAAAATCAAAATGATAATATTTCAAAAACAATAAATTATTAAATACATGAAACATAGAGGCTCACAAAACAGAACATGCCAATAAAAAAACAAATTGAAAAATACTGTTCACACTGTTTACACACTTTGCAAATCACATCAAATCACATCAAATTGTACAGTGTAAAACAGTTAAAAATGTTCACCCTGCTCTCCATTCCAGCCCCACATCCCCATCAACTGACTACAGACACGAACAAATCCAAATTATTTTTATTAATTCACCTAAAATACATAGAAATGGGTGTTCCTCAGATCCGGCGTCTTTAAAAAACACTTTCATGCACTGCGTCATATCAGAAATATGTTTAATATTTGCACTAGCAGTTATGGGTGCGTCAGAGCTCCAGCAGCCTGGACTGTGTACATGTAACCTGTGCAGGTACAAGAGACAGTTACCAGTGACTGCTCATGTTTATTTGCAAGGCACAAATACTGCTCAGTGAATGAGTGCAAACACTGATACTAACCCCTGACCACTCATCACACCAACAAGCAGCTTTAATAAAGGAACACTTCTCCCTAATAAAGACCTCTCTTTTGATAGATTGTATCTGTAGTCGCTGCAGTCAACTCAGTGGACCTCTGTCTGATAAAACACTACTTACTCTACACACAATCAAAATGGTTAATTTATACACACACACACACACACACACACACACACATTTTAGGTGTAGCCCAAGCTACAGACAAGCACTTATCTCCTCCTAAAGGACTAATACAAAATGTCCCACTGTAGACTCATAGACAGTGTTTCAATACACAGATAGAAAACAAATGAGTCTTAAAGAGTCCCTATTCTGCTTTTTAGGGTCTTCCCTTTCCTGTAGCGTGTTCTATAGGTTTTTGTGCATGTAAATGGTCTGCAAAGGCTAAAATCCCTGTGTTCACTCCAGAGGGAGTTTCTCTACAACACAATCCTCCATTGGACTACCTTATTTACTTCAGGAACATAACGTCATCACTATATAACACTCGTGCTTCTATTGGTTAGTGCTCATATGCAGCTTGTGAAAGACTAAGGGCCGGAACATCTAAGCAGTTAACCAATCACAACAGAGCCAGCCAGCGAACCAATCAGAGCAGACTGGGCTCTGGTTTCAGACAGAGGGTGAAAAGAGGTGCTGCAGCACAGGCAGTATGAGAAAAATAAAGAGCTATTTGAACATTAAAGCATGAAACCATGTCACAGTAGAGGCAATGAGCAGAATAGGGCCCCTTTAAGTTGATACTGTGATGTTGTTTGGGTTGTGACTGGGGTTTGACCCATGTCTCTTTATATTGCTGACATAATGATGCCTGGTCAGGAAAAGGTACGAACATCATGCTAAATGTTCATTTTGTATTAAGCCTGACTTGCTCTGCTCATGTCTATTTTTGGTTTGGCTGAGCTTCTTTGCTGCATGCATTGTTGCTTGGTTTGGTTGCAAATGCTGTTTCTTTTTTTATAACTTTCTGCTCTCTTTATTTGGTGCCATTGTTTTGTGTTTTGGTCTCATTGTCTTTTTTTTAAATTCATTTTACCGTACAACTCTCTTAAAAGTGGGGTAGGTACGTTTGAGAAACCGGCTCGAGATACACTTTTTGTTATATTCCATGGAATGCTCTTAACATCCCGATAGCAATGAATATCTTAAGTGCTTTGACAAAAAATTCATAAAAAAATGTCATCTGTGGAAGCCGTAATACTGTAAAAAGCACGACCAATCATTTTAGCCGGCCCGGCTAAAATAACTGGATGGCCTACCTGCCTGTCAGCCTTCCATGCGTGCACAAACTTATCTCGTGCCCTCATTAGTCATGTGCGCGTTCGTGCGCGTTCGGCTCTGTAAGGAAGTGGCAGATTTTTTCCGGCTGTGTATTTTCAAATTCTAGCACACTCGAGCTGGTTTCTCCAAAATTACCTACCCCACCTTTAATATGTACCCTTTTTCCTGGAGTTAAATGTTTTCTTCTCCCTCCTCTGCAGATACCAATCAGGCTCTGCGGCTGTGTCTGGGTACCAAGGCAACGGGGGCGGAGTTTGGAGCTGTCTCTGCTCTGAGCGTCAACCACGACTGCTCACGACTTCTCTGCGGCTTCGCCAAAGGACAGGTATACCTCCGACATGACATACAATCCCAGGTTGACTGGGGGTTCATTAGAGACAGTAATGATCCTCCTTAAAGCTTGATAGTGGTATATGTCAGTAAACCAAGAGTGTAATACTGCTAATAAATGGAATACACTCTATTACTGTATAGTTGAACTGGAATACAAGTGATATAGTATGGACTGGATTAATACAGCCCTTTTCCAGTATTCATGACCCCTCAAAGCACTTTTACATTTCGTGTCAGAGTTACCCGTTTACACATATTCATACAGGAAGAAGAAGAAGAAGAGGAATAAGAAGAAGAAGAATCAACTTTATTTGTCCCCTTGAGGAAATTCAGTTTTCCCCTCTGTCAGTAATATACACAGTAACTAACTCACATACAAGGTGCCACCTGCTTAAGGAAACTTACATTCACAGACACACACACCACTGTCTCTGGCTTGATTTGCTGTGCTCGTCAGGTGCCAGTGTTTGCCTAGTCTGTTGTGTTCAAGAACAAAAGCAGATATGGTACAACGCTGCTATCCACTCTGGCCCTGATCAGTCTACGCAGTTGCAGTTTGTAGAGGCACACCCTTCTCCAGAATCACATGCACCTTTTTCTATATGTGGAGTTTCTCTGGTTTAAACATAGCATAGTTATGTACATGTTGCTTAAGCCAGATGTCATGAACTAAATATCTGAATGAACTCATTTTAATTTTCAAACAGGTGAAAATGATGCAGCCCCTCTAAATGGTTTTCTGTCCAAGTTATTAGCAGTATTTATTTTAGTGACTGGGATTGATTGATTGTAATTGATAGAACAGAGAATTGTGTCTCTTGCACTTGAACATCTGAATGTCTGTCTGATCGTTTGTTTGTTTAGATCACAATGTGGGATCTAGCCAGTGGGAAGCTCCTGAGAACAATCACTGATGCCCACCCTCCAGGAACAGCAGTACTGCATGTGAAGGTACACACGCACGCACGCACGCACGCACGCACACACGCACGCACACACACACGCGCACACACACACACGCACACACACACACACATGAGGTGTGATTTGTGCCAAAGAACGAACTCACTGAGCAGACAATCGTGTCGATCGTCGACCTACCATGCCGTGAACTATGCTGCGAGAGAAGTAACGTGACACTCACGTCGCCACCCCTGTCGTCTGAGAAGCTACGTGACGTCTGCGTCTGAAGTTACTTTACTTTGGTAGTTATCACCAAATAACCCAGTAATGTTACAGCTACGTTGCTGTTCAAGCTAGACTCTATTTCAATATAGTTTTGGTATTAAAATAATGTTACACCTCTGGTATGCCCTGAATGCAAAAACAACCACAGACAAGAATATATATTTGTAATTATCAAAATGATAACAAAGGCTGAAAAAACAGGAGAAGCCTGTCTTCCCTTGGTCTCCAGGAGAAAACGCCACTGCATATCACCAAGTTTTCATATAGTTTTGTGTGTGAAATAGATCGCTGCAGTGAACACGACTTTATGTATTTGTTTATGGTTTATTTGATTTGGAGGGATGCAGTATAGAAGTTCAGAGAAGAGGCAACCCCTATATATTGTTTATTTTATTTCATTTCATTTTGGCACCATGGCAGAGGCAAATATAGAGTTAATGTGCGGAGATTATAATGTCCCGTTTACTAAAATATGTATTGTTTTATGATGTTTAGTTGACAAAATAGTCACTGTGCTACATTTTGCTGCACTCAAGCATACATCTGAAGACAAGAGTTGTGTCCCCCTTTGGCCACAAGGGGGAGTATATATATATATTGTATATATATATATTTTGTATCGATGTTGCAACTATACAGAGCTTTGGCAATACTATATGTAACTGAGGTCATGCTAATAAAGCTATTGAATTGAATTGAGTATACCTTTAAGTGAGCTGTCAGGAGGAAACAAAGGTTCGCCAACACATTACTCTAATGCTGAGAAAGTACAAAGACGTGAAACGATGTGCTGCAATGTCTGTGTCTTTTTGAAGAATGCCAAGTAAAGGAAGAAAGTAACTCGCACTGAGTCTTAATACATTACTTTATTTCTATTATATAGAAACACTATCCAATGATTTATTATGTTTGTGTTACACACACCATTACTGAATTCATTCTAAAACCAAGAATAACCTATACAACAATAGGGAGCCCTGGCTCAAGGACGGACAAAACAAGGACACCACACATGATTATTTTCCAATTACAGTATATTTATTTAAAGAGAGTAACTCAATTGTGATATCAGTTAATCAGTAATGTGTGTAGTGTACGGGTGTGTGATGTGTCAGCAGGGCCGGACTGGGACCATAGGTCAGGCCGGGAATTATACACCCAGCCAGGCCACTAGTTTTGTTTGGGGGCGTTTTGCTGGATGTATCGTCAATATTTACAACGTTGCTGCCCGTAGTGATAGCCCTACAGTTTGAATCTACTACTTAAATAGAAACATATGGACATAGGATATTGTTAAAAAAAAGTGTGCATATGTATTTGGGAACCTTTCCATGTGAACATGTTTTATTTGGGGGTGGACCTCAAATGGATTAAACTGTGATCAATAACTATAGTAACTTATTGAGAGAACATGAACATAGCTTGCTTATACTGTTGTCATTACATTTCCTTTGTTTTGTTCAGTGTTTTCATAGACATAGCCTATTGAAACAGTTTCCTCTGTACCTGCCAGTTCTGTCCACTGAGCTCTGCATCTCTCCCTCAGGGTCATCACCATCAGCATCATCTGATAGTGGAACTGAATAAGGAGAACATGTAATCATTACATTAACAACTATTTATGAAATAACATTATTCAAGAACATATATTATGCAACACTTATTTTATCACTTAGTTGACCCTGTATTTGCATGGCCTAATACCATAATGATTGTCTCCCCTTTAGACAACATAACCATCTCAAGTTATTCACTCACAGAGTGAGGGGTTTGTAGCCCCACAGTTAGCTGCAGTCTTATGGTTATATTACATATATTTGCCTTGAGTAACATTAAGGACATGTTTGGGTTTTGTGTAGCCTTACAGTCTCCAGTCACACAGGGCCTGCCACTAACTTAGCATTGGACTGAGAAACTGTTTTGTTGACAGTCGATGTGCACATCAGGCTACAATATAGAAAGAAATGTGGCTCATAATGTTCGCTCACTTACTTTCTGCTTCGTCATTCGATACCATAGGGGGTTCTGAATAAATCAGTGATTTTAGCACATTTCGCTGCCTTTTTTTGTTGCAGGATGGGGGTCCATCCTTCCACAATAATTAACCTTGCCGTCAGTTTCAGTCGGTCCAGTCCACACTAATGTAAACAGCAGCGTGCTGGTCTCGTGAGAAACGGAGAATGGAACAACCAATCACATCTTCATTATTCTCCTGAAATTTAAATGTGCACATTCGCTACTCTGACAGGTGCGTGGTTCTCACTGCGCCTCATACCGGTGCAACTTTGAACACCTTCAATATATGCCGCATTAATGGATTTGGCCTGCAGTCACCTCATCTGGGCTGAATTAAACACGTATTATTTTAGTCCTGTGTGTTTATTAGAGGCCATGTCAGCAGGCCACATCATATTATGCCAGCGTTGCGTTCACAAGACATACAAGCCACAAACTGGCAATCGAAACATGCCACAACCTGAGGGACAGTGAATGAGACACACAGACACAGACACACCCACACACACCTTGAGGGAGGGAGGGACAGCTGATCGCCGACAGCTGATCGCCGTGCAGCGATCAGCTGTTCCCGAGCAGAGAGAGAGAGAGCTGCTTGACACAACTCTTATTAATTCCCGTACCGGACAATTGTTATTTGTTCCAAATCGGAACCGGATTTCGGTTCCCGACCCTCATCACATCCCCAGCCACAGCCGTGGTCTTAACCGGTCTTGACATAAAATCTTGAGTCCTATAGGTCTGATACAGAGACTATACGAAACCAAATGCAGTCGATTCCGAGACAAGACGTTAAAAAGTGGTCTGGAGACCGGTCTCGAGTACAACACCAGCAAATATTCTCATACTAATGATTATTAATTATTATTCCCCTCTCTTCTGATACCAATACTGTGCCGATGAGAAAGTGTACCTGTAACACTCTCCAAACTACTGTGGAGCGGAATCATTCGAAAAATATAATATAGGATAATGCTATACAATGCTAACGGAGGCGAGACGTACGTTATTCATGCGCTTATCCACACGTACGTTATTCACGAGCATATCCACACGTACGTTATCAACACGCATATCTAAGATAGTGCTTTCTAAGCTACCCCGCTGCTACGTGAGCGCATACTTTGAGCGCATACTTTGAGCGCATACTTTGAGCGCACCTATGGTACGTCGCCGTGACGTCTGACGTCTGCCATCGTCGTGACGTCGCCTGTATTCTACGTCAACCCATTCAAAATTGATGGAGGCGTTGGCGCACGTTGACACGTCAGTTCTCCGCTCAGTTAGCTTAGTTATCTGTTCTTTGGCACAAATCACACCTCATACACACACACACACACACACACACACACACACACACACACACACACACACACACACACCCACACACACACACACACTCACACACTCATACTCATACTCATACTCATACTCATACTCATACTCATACTCATACTCACACACACACTCACACCCCGATATATATATATATATAATATCTAATATGAATTGTTATTATGTCCCTGTTGTTGTGTCTCTAGTTCACAGATGACCCGACTCTTGCAGTGTGCAATGACAGCGGAGGATCAGTGTTTGAGCTGGCTTTCAGGTACATTTCTTTAGATAAAGAAAATAAAATAACTTTTGTTTTCTCCCATAAGATCATCAAAGTGTTGGTCCACTGACCGTTGGGCAGTATGTAACACTGTGTATCACTCCCTCACGGTTAAAGAGAGCATTCACTCGAATAGCCTTTTGCAGAGTTGCCATGGTTACAGGTGTTGTTCTCTTTTGCGAGGTTGAAGAGGCACCGTGTGTCCATTAGGGTTGAAAATCTATTTTTTCTCCTAAGCTTAGATAAACAAATGCAGGCACATCAGTGAACGCAACACTAATGCTTTTAACTCATCAGCTCCTGACTTGAAGTGATGTTTCTTTAATAAGACAACTGCATCTGACTGTGTTTACCTGCAGGAGGGTGATGGGGATGCGGTCCTGTGACTCACGCTGTCTCTTCAGTGGATCTAAAGGGGAGGTGTGCTGTATCGAGCCGTTGCGTGCCCCTCCAGACTTCAGAGACCATCCCATCACACACTACTCTCTGCTGGCCATGGCCTCCCTCACTAAGGTCCACACTGCATCCTCCTTCCTCTGCTCATCCACCCAGCTGTGTGTAAAGTTCCTCATGGTTTATTGCCTCTTGGTTTTCTTTCCCCAGATTCTGGTCATTGGACTGAAGCCCTCGCTGAAAGTCTGGATGACTTTCCCCTACAGCAAGGTCTGTATAACTGTGTGCTTGTTTTGTTATTAATGAGTGCATGCTGGTCCATATTCATCAATACAATGACATGAATAACTGACTGATTCTGTGCTGAAGTTATCATATAGTTCTTGACTGCACACTAAGGGTTGTGGATTATTCATCCGCTACCATCTTACTTAGCCGCTACCATCTTACTTAGCCGCTACCATCTTACTTAGCCGCTACCATCTTACTTAGCCGCTACCATCTTACTTACCCGCTACCATCTTACTTACCCTTATCCTCACCCCTTATGAAAGACTGTGCCTAGTGTCGTTACACGCCAGCAATGCAGCTGAGGCAAAAATGCCCTACAAGTTTGACTGAAAAGCGTTTTTTTAAAACAAGGTCAATTTTTTGAGAGCTACACTGTCCATACTGTACGTTTGTCTCCAGTATCTTCATTTTCTTATCATCCAACTCTTATCTAATAGTTGATTATACACCAGGTGAAGCTAGTCGCACCAAACCTCAAATGCTTTATCTGCGCCGTATGTAATCAGAAAAACTGTAATATACAAAAGGTCCAATATTGCTGTTCTGAGTTTGTATCTTCAGGGTTGTTCGCACTCATTGTTGGTGGCTTAGGATGAAAGCGTCAGCTCAATGAAATGTAATGTAGACACAGTACTTCCGGGTGAGTTTGGCCATAAAATGAAAATGATACTACTTCCAGCTGATGTCAGTGGAGGTCCCTCATTGACAGTGACGGGCAGCAGCAATTGCATCAGAGAGCACGCCAATTAATTGTGTTTGGCCAAATTTCCCTCACCCTTGCTCAAAAAGGTGCACAGAAACAGTCATAAAATGTAAACCTCTACATACAACCTCCTCTAGTACATGGGTTTTCCAAATGTTTTATATACATTTTGAATTAGACCATTATTCACATTCATGTTTGTGTCTACCATAGTAAACTTTTTTATTTTCACATGGGTGATGTGCTTTGTGAACATTACTTTTAGAGGATAATTATTGATGTGTTTTTCTTTCCCCAGTCTGACCCGTCCAGTGTTCCTCAGCTGGCCTGGCAGTTTGTTCCTGTTCAGAAGACGCTCAACCCCGTCCTGGCTTTCTGTAAAGGAGACACAGTCCACTTCCTGCTGGTATCTGCTCAACTCCCTCTTTACTTCCAAAAAGCTAAATACACATTAGAAAGACATTTTGTTTACAGCATTAGTTCTGAAGAAGACCAAATAGAAACTAGAGAATGCAATTCCTGAAGAAATTGCTAGTGGGAATGCTTAATGCTGAAAATCTGACGCTAAATTGCTATGCTGAAATGTAATGTGTAAGAAGAAAGTGAAGAATTTAGATTGAAATGAGAGAGAGAGAGAGAGAGAAAGAAATGAACAGTTAGAACTGACTGCTGTCAGTTGGAGTGATGACATCATTTACACAGGTGTTTATAGTTGAGCTAACGAGCTATGAAGAGATCAAAGGTTTGCATTGTTCTGAATGACAGATAAACATGTGAACGTTTTGTGGAAGAACCATAACATATATCTGTGAAATTTCAAAACGTGAAGCATGTCAAGGAAGTTGAGTATCTGAAGTGTAATTTTTGTGTACTTTCGGGTTAATAATGTGGCCTTTTTGGCAGTTTAACTAAAGGTGTGCGGCTGCTGCTGTGAGGAAATATCAGCCTGAAAATGGGTTTTAATGGAGACATGTTTCATTCATTTTTCAAGCTACGAGATGTTTTCCTACGTTTGTCATGAAAAATTATGTCTCAGGAATGTAGGGTTTGGGAATTATGGCAGTTTTAAAAAAAAAATATGAAGGCAAATTTCAAGATTTCCTCCACTCTAGCTGTGACATCACGCACTCTCTGCCTTAACGAGCTGCGCAATGTTAAAGTTAAAATGTTAAAAATGTGATGAATTATGGGATGTATCTCTGGAATTATGAAAGTTATGAATGATAAAAGTAATAGCCATCGATTCCAGACCGTGCTGAACGTTTTGATGTTTGAACGGAGTTTCTGCGATGTTGAATGTGGGAGGAGAAGACGGACAAAATAATTGGACGGAATAATAAGAATTTTGTCCGTAGCATAACATATAGTTGGAATGCTGTATCAGCATTCCCACTAAATTACTTTAAATATTTCATACATGACTTTAGATAAACATTGCTTGATAATACACAGTATTAATGTAATATATTATCGAATGTTGTCCTACCTCAGAATACGGACACATTGAAATCTCTGTGCATGTTGGAGAGATACAGTAATGTACAACATTGTTTTAGTCAGTTAGTTACAAGACAGTGTTTCCCAATACATACCCACATTATAAATAAATAAACTAGATTGTAATGTCATATGTCCTAGATGTATTGTGTTCTATACAGTTGGTAGTGTTTGAATGTTCTTCTCTGTTTGTTCAGGTAAAGAAGGAGGACACGGGCACCATCCATGTCATCAAACAGAAACAACTCCAGCTCAGCTGTGACATCATCAGCCTGAGTGTAAGCCCTTGAGCTCTCATCTAATTGCAACTGTTTTGAATAGCCCTCAATGTTAGGTGTTGTCCAAAAGCTGTGATAATGTGTAATTGGAAAAAACCAAAACATAAAAGGAGTCGCTATAATGACATGTACATGGACAGCATCAGGCCATGCTCCTGAGGCTGTGACAGGCCAGCCCCCTGAAACAAAGACAGGCCTTTCCTTCCTATAACAGTGAAAGTTCCATCACCGTACACTACACAACGTGCTCTGCCCCTGTGATTATAGTATTTCAAAAGCTTTGGCATTGAGTGTTAGGGGCCTGGGAAATGTACACTTTCAATTTGTCCTAGTGCACAATAATTCATAATGGACTTTGATGTCCTGCTGCATGTTCTCCATGCACAATAATGCACAGTTTTGTCAGATAGTAATTGGTAAAAAACAAACACACAATGCAACAAACTCTTACCCTAAGAACGGACAAAATACATTTGTATGAAATGCTGGCTGTCTTCATTTAGCAACACGTGGCATGGAGAGCTCTACATAGGTATACATTTTCTTGTCCAACAGGTATATGCCTCTATTTATTTTACCAGATATGTTTCCTACCACAGGTGTGATCTAACTGCTGCTCATGTGTGATAGAGACGTTCAATGCCTTACTGGTTTCCCTGTCTCTGTGTCTCTGCAGTGGATTAACAGCCGTACCCTGGTCCTGGTGGACAGCCATGAGAAGCTGCAGGTTGTGGACCGGCCCAGTCAGGAGGTTCTGGAGACTCTGGACCTGGAGCAGGTGCAACTGGTCTATAACAGCCGACATTTCAAATCGCTGGCCACTGGAGGGAATGTCTCCCAGGCTCTGGTGAGGGGTTCGCTGCCGGGGGACAGGATCAGATGCAGAGAGTTCAACATTTTATAGTCATCTAGTCCCTACATAGTCTCTGGATAGTCTGTTTACATAACACTCATCCTGATCTCTCTCCACTGACTGTTATAATCACCAGCGAAGATTTAAAAATCCTCAGCCTGACATTCTCACACCATGTTCATCCCACAACTATGATAGAACCACTAGAGCACCAGGTTTGGAGTAACACTCTCATATGTTCTTCCTCTTCACACTGCCCTTCCCTTCCTGATGTAACTACACTGTTAATGACGGAAGACTAAACCCAGAGTCCTCAGAACTTAAACAAATGCATTCTAAAGTTCAGCTGAAGCTAATAAGAGGCTTTGTTAGTCTGAATGAATTTTACCCACATATTGACTGGAGCTGTGTGTGTCTGTGTTCTAGGCTTTAGTGGGAGAGAAGGCCTGCTACCAGTCCGTCTCCAGCTACGCAGGGCAGATAGTCTATTTGGGTACCAAGGTACTGTGTGTGTGTGTGTGTGTGTGTGTGTGTGTGTGTGTGTGTGTGTGTGTGTGTGTGTGTGTGTGTGTGTGTGTGTGTGTGTGTGTGTGTGTGTGTGTGTGTGTGTGTGTGTGTGTGTGTGTGTGTGTGTGTGTGTGTGTGTGTGTGTGTGTGTGTGTGTGTGTGTGTGTGTGTGTGTGTGTGTGGTGTGTGTGTGTGTGTGTGTGTGTGTGTGTGTGTGTGTGTGTGTGTGTGTGTGTGTGTGTGTGTGTGTGTGTGTGTGTGTGTGTGTGTGTGTGTGTGTGTGTGTGTGTGTGTGTGTGTGTGTGTGTGTGTGTTCCTTTTGTTGTTTGTAGACTTGATTATGGTATTACATTTGTTCAAAAACTCTTTGTATTGTATTTATTGATCGTCTGATAATGTTGTTTGAGTCTGTGGTTGGTTTTATTTTTCTTAAAACTGTGATATTCTCTTGTGTTGCAGTCCGCTCACATCATGGCTCTGAGGAATTGGAGAGAGGTATGTATGATGTTATTTTAACTTAGTATTAGTGAAGACTTCGATCTAACTATAGTTCCACTCAAAATAAAAAATTGCATATGTCTATATAAAATATATATAGTTTTATTATCCCCCCCTGGATAAACAGTTAATAATTATGTTAATAGTTATGTATAATTATATATCTTTGTCGGATACATCTGAAAAAGTGAGTAAGTTAATAGTAAATATTTATCTTCAAAACTTGGCTGAAGTACAGTATCAAAGTAAAATAAATTGTATTTTCACCAAGAATCAATACTTTTTAGTTTCTGCATTTTCAAATCTTAATGTTTTCTTAATAAATCTTCAATTTTAATCACTTTGAATACATTGCCTTTTTGGTACAAATCCCTGAGTACAAGGTTTTGATAGAAGATATGTTTCCTCTTGACCTGCTTTTACCTGCACATGATTTCCTGTACATCAGTAGACCATCCACTGCTTGCGGTGCAGTTGTTCCATGTTCCCTCAGGATTATCAAAGACCCCCATCACCCCAGCCACAAACTGTTCTGTCTGCTGCCGTCTGGCAGGCGGTACCGCAGCATCAGGACTAAAACCACCAGACTCAGGGACAGTTTCATCCCACAGGCCATAAGAATGTTAAACACCTGAACCAAGAACATCCATAACATTAATCTGATTGCAACTCACAAATTATTTATCACTTGTATATAGACTCTTATGGCACTACTTGCACTATTTTATCTGTTTTATTGTGTTGCACTGTTGGAGGAGCCTGTGACCTAAGATTGTAATCAACATAACTACACTGTAGCTATGTACGAATGACAATAAAAGCCTTGGATCTTGAAAACAAATTTCTACCTCTAACTGCGTCTCTGTGTGTGCAGCGCATCGACTGCCTGCTGAAGCAGGAGCATTTCGTGGAGGCTCTCTCTCTGGCCTGGTCCTTCCATGAGGGAACTGCTAAAGCTGTGGTTGGTGGGTACAGCATTTACTGTACCACACATGACTTTGTATTGATGAAACTGTGGTCCTATGAATAGAGACTGTGCTATGTTTTGAACAATGTACCATATAAGCGCACTGAAAACACAATCGAAAAACAAGATTTTCACACATTTACAACTGAAAATGTATGTTTTTTACTTTGAAGATGCAACACATTCTAATTTGTAATCAGAAAGTAAAAAAACGATTCTTGTTCATGTTGTATCTGCAAGGCATAAGGTTGATACTACAGTCTGTTCTCAAGGGACCGCAGTCCCATAATTAGGTTCTATCTCACACAGGCTCCGCCCTCTACTGGACTCTATGGGTACTACTCTCATCAATGATACGCGAGTGTTCGCACACTGAAGTTGTATAAACGTAGCCGGTCAATCAGGGCGAGCCTACATGAATGCGCGCGCATATAAGGCAGCTACACCTCCTGACTGTCATCCTTTTCTCTTCAGCGAGCAGGACAACACCTGACAGAGAAAAGTAAAACGTAGAAGAAGAAGAAGAAATAAGTTATCATACCTTCATGGAGTCGCCACTTCTAGAGACCCGGGCCTGTCCTTCGTGCCCTGGCTTAATAGCGGGCGCCGATCCCCATCACCTCTGCTTCGAGTGTTTGGGGGACCAGGATATGGCCGAGGCGGTGCCATTCACGTTCGCCATTCACGTTCGCCATTCACGTTCGCCATTCACGTTCGCCATTCACATTCGCCATTCACATTCGCCATTCACATTCGCCATTCCAGCGGGGCGGATGGCTCCGTTTGCCGGGGAGGAGGATGGCGAGGACTTCTCGTTGGCGGACACTTCCGGGTCCGGCGTCCATGGAAGTCCACCGCCCAGTTCTGACCGCCAGGACTTCCCCCTGGTGATGACCATGTCGACGGAGTGTGTAGGGCTACCGCTCCCCCACCACTGCTACCGAAATCGGTGAGCCGCCGCCCTCCGCCAGGGGTTCTACGGCCCGGTCCGCCTGGCGCAGCCAGCCTTCGTTTCGCCCCCGTTGCCAGATATCTGGCAGTGTGTGGAGGCGTCGTGGCGACAGCCACTGAAGGCGAAGGCTCCAGTGGCTTGTATGGTGGGGATCCTCACGGTGCAGGGCCGCACGGACACAGCGTGTCCCGGCGTTCCCCCCCTTGATGAGAGCCTGGCAGCCCATCTGCTCCCACAGGCAGCAGGCTGGGCGGAGAACCTCTGCCCCGCTGCCGCGTGACAGGGCGGCTGCAAATAACACGGGTGTGTTGGGCTTCTCGCTGATTGCTCTTCCGCCCCCACCTCACCGGATCAGAGCGATTATTTGGCCGCAGCATCAGCCAAATGAATATCCTGGTCCACGGTGTGGCCGCCGCATCTTGCCGTGTGATGTCCCTGGCCACAGTGGGATCCCGCCGTGTGGCACTTTCCAAAAAAAGACCATGATGATCTCCTGGGAGCCCCCGTGTCTACGGAAGGGCTCTTTGGATCGATTTCCTCTGGCGTCTTGGTCTACGCCATGCTCCTTAGGGACCCGGGAAACATGGTGCGCAGTAAGTCCCATACAGGGCTGGAAGGCTCTCCCCGCCTGCCCAGCCTTCCCCACTACGGTCCATGCACACTCTACACGAGGTAAGCCTATGTGAGTGTGGGGGACATGGTGCACTTACGTTCTCCCGATGCTCCTTAGGGACCTGGGAAACGTAGTGCGCAGTGTATAGTCACTTGCGCTGGCACCTGCAGGGTGGAGCTATTGGCTTATTCAGACCAATTAGGCTCTACCCAGCCAAGTAAACTGCGGCCCTGACTTCTCCACGGTCACAACCGGATGATAGGAAGTTGGGGTGCGGTGGCTGTTAACCAAAGGCCGGTCAGGGGCAGTGTGGTGGGTCGATGTTGTAGGGCGACAGGGCGTTTATCCATCGGGGCTCCACCCACTGTACCCATAGAGTCCAGTAGAGGGCGGAGCCTGTGTGAGATAGAACGGGGGGTTACGTATTGTAGCCCTAGTTCTATAAGCACAGGCGGAGCCCTCTACCTAGGGGCCCTGTCTTTCCTATGCCGCTCGCTGAAGAGGGTGTAGGAAGACAGTCAGGAGGTGTAGCTGCCTTATATGCGCGCGCATTCAGGTAGGCTCGCCTTGATTGGCCGGCTACGTTTATTCAACTTCAGTGTGTGAACGCTCGCGTATCATTGATGAGAGTAGTACCCATAGAGTCCAGTAGTGGGCTCCACCTGTGCTTATACAACTAGGGTTACAATACGTAACCCCCCGTTCTCTCCATGGTAAAAAGCTGGTGATTCATTTTCAATTTAGATTTTTGGGTCAAATATGTGACCCGCTCTATCGAAATCAGTCGGAAGTCGCAACGGCTCATTTCAAAATAAACGTGGATTTGCGTAAAAAAAAAGTTTTTCGGGGTTCGGGTGTTTTGTTTGATTTTAAATAAACAAAGTCTTGCATTTCAGAATATGAAACTTTTATTTCCAAAATCACACGATAAATACATTTTTGAAGCTTGTAAAGGGAAGATGACACCTCTCACTCGCACCCTGCTGTTCCGCAGCGCTGCTTCCCCTCCCTCCGGCTGAAATTATGAATGTAAGGCGTATAGTAATCATAGATAATACGGCAGGGTCCGTTACAGTTTGTTTTCATCTGATTTCAATTAAACAAAGTCTTGGCTTTCAGAATATTACATTTGTTTTGGCAAATTCAGATGATAAATACAACTTTGAAGCTTGTAACGGCATATTTACAAGCGGAGAACGGAGTAACTTTACGTCACAGCAGGCATAACAACAGCCGGTGTTTCTCGTGATTGTTTTCCCCGGGAAACAAACAATACACACAAACGCAAAATTACACAAACACACACACACGTATACACACACACACTCGCGAGCTTCCCCCAGACCAGTAATCCAAATGAAAATATATTCCCTCCGTAGTATTTTGATCATTTGCTAATAATCAATCAGATCGATGGATTCCAGAGAAGAGGAAACTTTAAAGGCCTTTTTCTCAAAATGATGACTCGGTGACAGTCATTATATAATGTGACATATTTTACTTAATATTTGGAGTACAAAAACAATCCTGATATCATTAGAAAGCTAGGAATCTCCTCTTTCCAACAGTGTATATAACTCAAAATGTGTCTTCGGGTCAATGCGACTGATTTCGATGGAGCAGGTCACATATGTCAATTATCAGATTATCACAATCCATTTAACAAACATTGAACATGGTATTTTGCCCCTGGAGGACCCAGGAGCAGATGCAAACCTTGCCCGGTTTATAACTCAGCCATGTTCATGTTCATAATGTTTGTACATTTCGATCTATTGAGATAGTGGTGCATTGTGGGTACACAGTGCAGTCAATGTTGCCGACAGATACTGTACTGGAGGTGTTGCTTCAATTCAGAAAACCTCTGTTGGTAGTACGTTTGGAAAACAATTGTGAGTCTTTTCATATAATTCACTGAAGGAAAATTCAAGTACTACATGTTTTTCATGAAATGACAATATGCCTGTTTTTGTATGAAGATAACGTTCGATGAGTCAGATATTTTCAATAGAAAATGATTAAAATAAGAAAATAGTTGTTTTGATGTGAACAATGTGTTACATGTGTTTAATCCAGGTCTTGTTGGAGATCAAATTAAAAAGAAGGGAGTTGTAGGGGACAAGGTAAGATCAGGAACACTACAATTATTAGCATTAATTGTAATATTGTCTGCCATGGACAGTGCACCACAACTTTCCTGTGCTCATGTTGACTCTGTGTGTGCAGATGGTGGAGATCCTCTTCCAGTTTGCAGAGCATGCTCTGAAGAAGTGTCCAGAACATGGCAAGATACAAGTGATGGAGCAACACTTCCACGTAAGCTAACCTCCTTAAAGCACAACTCAGTGTCTGCACAGCGGGGCCAATACAGGGAAGGCATATTCCCAACATATCCATATGTTTATTTAACTTCATTTAAGAGGGACCTTGAACAGTTTAAAACATTATTGTAACAATCCAATGGACTGCATTCCAGATTATAGCTTTTAACTCATTCATATCTGTAGTCCCTTCACTGGACAGATCAAATTAAGCAAACAGAAGAGAGTAAAGACGCACAGTAAAACTAAAAATACAGAGATCCCAGCTAGAAATGTTTGGCTCTAAAAATATTCTGAGAATGTTACGCTGTTACGAGTACAACAGAATACCGTTCGGCTACTCCCTGTCCCCACGCACGTTCCGCAAATGTGTGACCACAGTGCTTCAGCCGCTTCGCGACCATGGCATGAGGGTTTTATTTTATCTCAACGACCTCATAGTCATGGCCAGGTCCAGGGACCAGTCTTTAGCCAACCGCTTATGAAGTGTTTTTTGCAGGGGATCAGGAGACAGCGCCCAGTGGTGTATGTCTCCACCCCGCAATGGGAACTGCCATTGGTGCTCGAAATAAAAGAACATCTATAATATGTTACCCCAACAACGTCCAAAAAACATCCTCAGAATGTTGCAGGCAAAACGTTCCACCTTTGTTAACACATCACATTAAAGGAACGTTTTATAAAACACTTTCTGTCATCTCAGGCCTCAATAACATCCTGAAAACATCCTCTGAATGTTGCAGTTAAAACGTTATGTCTTAGTTAACCTTAAACCTTATAGGAACATTATTTAAAATGATAAACATCCTCAAAAGGTTCTTTGAACATCAGATTAAAACGTTTTCTTTAAAACATTATTAGAACCTGTAGGTAACATTAGCCAAAGTTGTGAGAACGTTCCCTGCTAGCTGGGATACTAGAGATAAAAGTGAAGTCATGAAGGCCGTAAAATAGAATTCAGGGTCAGTGCTTACAGAGCAGAGAAAGATATTTCAGATATAAAAAATATGAGACTATTTCAATATCCCCTTGCAAACAATGGAGATACAAAAATGTTTCTTTTATTGTGACAACAAGTTACATTTTTGACACGTCCTTTCTCTGTCAGACTTGGAATTCGGGGGAATTTTGATATATTTTGGAAATAATTCCTCACTATTATTTCTGTAGTTTGGTATTCTGATAGAAAGTGTATTTCTGCTCCCACATCACATCATCCATATATATATGTGTGTGTGTGTGTGTGTGTGTGTGTGTGTGTGTGTGTGTGTGTGTGTGTGTGTGTGTGTGTGTGTGTGTGTGTGTGTGTGTGTGTGTGTGTGTGTGTGTGTGTGTGTGTGTGTGTGTGTGTGTGTGTGTGTGTGTGTGTGTGTGTGTGTGTGTGTGTGTGTGTGTGTGTGTGTGTGTGTGTGTGTGTGTGTGTGTGTGTGTGTGTGTGTGTGTGTGTGTGTGTGTGTGTGTGTGTGTGTGTGTGTGTGTGTGTGTGTGTGTGTGTGTGTGTGTGTGTGTGTAGGATGTGGTTCCAGTCCTGGTGGATTACTGCCTGCTGCTGAAGAGGGCGTGAGTACTCATTCTATTTAGGTTTATAAACACAAATAAAATCATAGACTCATGGGAATTACATATTGTAGCTCTGATGACAGATGCAATGGAATATATTCCAGAATAAAACTGATTTGCTGTTTACGTTTTAGCCTAAATGGTTCATGGTTGATATAATAGCCTTTACATTTTAATTTAATTATTTTATATATCCCTGGGCTTCTAGTGAATGGCAGGATCTGGTATACATTGTAGTTTATTCAAAATTGAAGATGTTCAGCCTGTAAGAGTTTAAGCTAACATTTGAACCTGTATTTTAGTTTGGTTAATAAACCCCACACCTTTGTTTATTTTATCTGCACTCCATTTCAGGGTCAAACTGACTATAAAAGAACCAAGAGGAGTAAACAGGCTTTGTGGTTACTCATTCATTGGGCAGTTGTGATGATTTTATCCTGTATTGTTAGGGCCAAATGGTACAACCCAATCATGTCTACTGATATGAAGTCATGCAGCACTTTATTGAACCTGATCTGGTTATTTATCTTCCCTGGTGTCACAAAGAGCTCACCAATCAACACCTGATAACAAGCATTATTATTAAAGACTATAACTCAACCTCATTTTAGCAATAATGTGGGTTGGGAGCTCAACCATATGTATTTCTAAGTTGTTGACCAATCACAACAGAGCTGGCCATCAGAGCAGACTGGGCTCTGGTTTCAGACAGAATAATAATAATAATAATCCATTTTATTTGTAAGCGCACTTTTCATTTGCATAAACGAAACTCTAAGTGCTACAGAGTAAAAAGGGTGAAACAAAACAACAAAACAATTTAAAACAATTAAAACAACAGAATAAAAGCAGTGACATTTATGCCGGCATGGCAAAATGTGGGGGTTTTAAAAATCTAGTAAAAGGCTATTCTAAAAAGATGCATTTTTAGGCCTTTCTTAAAAGCATCCACAGTCTGTGGTGTCCTCTGCTGGTTTGGGAGGGCATTCCACAGTCTCAGAGCAGCGGAGCAGAAGGCTCGGTCTCCCATGGTCTTCAGTTTGGTCCTGGGGGGAAGGAGGAGGTTTGCCTTTTCAGATCGTAGGTGCCTTGTGGATGTTTGTGGAGTGAGCACAGGGTGAAGCAAAGTTAGATGATGAGGCCCTCTGTTTCGCAAGCGTCGACGGGGTGCTAATGGAGCCTCGCAGCGGCGAAACCGTGCTGCGCCACACTAATTGCGGCACAATGAGCGCATAGGTGCGCCGCATTTGAGGCTCAGTTGAGGCTCCCTCCGCAAGATGAGGCCCCCTCCGCGAGGTGAGGCCCCACGCAGTCTGCGGGATCTGCCTGTAGGGAGGGACGGCCCTGGGTGAGCAATTCTTTCATGTAGGAGGGAGCATTTCCATGTATGCACTGATAAGTGAAGAGGGTGATTTTGTAGTCAATCCTGAGTGAGACCGGGAGCCAGTGCAGTGATTTGAGGATGGGTGTGATGTGCTCATACTTCCGTACTCTCATCAGGATCCTAGCAGCGGTGTTCTGGATGTATTGCAGCTTCTTGATGTTCTTGCTAGGAATCCCAATGAGAAGTGCGTTACAGTAGTCCAGCCTGGAGGAGACAAAGGCGTGGACAAGCTTTTCAGCATCTGGCAGGCTGAGTGTGGGGCGGAGTTTAGCAATATGTCTGAGGTGGTTGAAGGAGGTCTTGCATGTTTGTTTGATGTGGGCCTCAAAGGTCAGGTGAGGGTCCATTTTAACACCCAGATTGGTAACAGTTGATGAGAGTGGAATGTTCTGACCGGAGAAGGTGATGCTGGTGATGGAGGATGAACGGACCTGATGTGGAGTGCCAACTAGAATGGCTTCAGTCTTGGAGCTGTTTAACTGAAGGAAGTTGTGCTTCATCGGCACCTTTATCTCCTCCAGGCATGTTGTTATTGTGGATGATGGCAGAGGTGCAGAGGGGGTTGGGCTTGCTCTGATGTACAACTTTATATAAAATGAAAGTATTATTCAAGAGCCAAACCATTAGTGGTTATGAACAGTACCTGTAAAAATTCTTTTTGTTATTTCCTGTAATTGTAAAAGTAATTACTTCCTGATTGTTTTTGTAAAAAAGTATCAAGACAAACATGTCGCTGATGACGATGACCTAATTACTTCATTTATACTGCAAGGAAAATGTACGCTAGAAGGGGTAGGACCAGAAAAGTTTTTTAAGCTTCTTCTTGCCCCTGTTGAACACGACAGAGACTAATTTAAGATTTATTGTTGTTGTTTCTTTTTATTTCTTTTTTTTTTTGCATTATCATTATTATTTATTTTATTGTACTTTGGTATAATTATTATTATTATGAGTGAGAAGGAAGAAAAGGAAGAAGCAATATATATTATTATTAGTATTGATGTATGTTTTGTTTCTGACATGTTCAATAAATTGACATAAAAAAAAAAAAAAAAAAAAAAAGATGTAGAGCTTTGTGTCATCAGCATAGCAATGGAACGATATTCCATGCCGGCTGATGACACGACCAAGGGGGGACATGTATATGGTGAAAAGGGTGGGGCCGAGGACTGATCCTTGGGGGACACCACAGGTCACAGAGTGTGTTTGTGATTTTGCCGCTCCCAAGGTGACGTGCTCAGTCCTCCCGGTGAGATAGGAGGTGAACCAGTTTAGGGCAGCGTCAGAGAGTCCAATTGTAGAGCGAAGACGATGGAGTAGAATGTCATGGTCGACGGTGTCAAACAGAGGGTGAAAAGAGGTGCTGCAGCACATTATGAGAAAAATAAAGAGCTTTTTGAACATTAAAGCATGGAGACATGTCCCAGTAGAGACACTAAATACTGATATGACCCTGAAGATGAGCAGAAGAGGGCCCCTTTAAAGCAGTGGCACCTTAAGCTGTGAACACATTTATGAAGCTCTTCAATACAATTGAATCAAATGTAGTAACTGGACTATTAAATATAATGGCATCTGTGAGCTCATAGTGAGTGCATACAACATGCCGGTGTGATTTAAAACAGAGCAGAAGTAAAAGTGTTTCCCGTGTGCAGAGACCTGATGTTCAACCAGCTGTACGACCGGCTGCTGGAAAACTCTGTTGCTAAGGGAGTCTTCCTGGAGGCCCTCGAGTCGTACATCGTTGCCGACCGCCTGGGTCACCTCACCACACCCATCATGAGGGACCTCCTGGCCCATTACCATGGCAACGGTATGATGGACAGCCTGGAGAGATGCATTGTCCATCTGGATGTGACCAGCCTGGACATACAGCAGGTGTGTGTTTGTGTGTATATATTCAGTAAGGACATAATGGGGAATAAAAAATGCCCTACACAGCCATCAGCAGCTGCAATTAAACCAAATCTGTGATGAGTTGCAAAAAAACTGCTTGTTTATTCTTTAATTTCCACTCGTATCATTTTCAATACGTCTTCTGGGTTTGTGTTTGTGTGTGTTTGTAGGTGGTTCAAGTGTGTTGGGAGAACCAGCTCTATGATGCAATGCTCTACGTCTTCAACAGCGGAATGAATGACTACATCACCCCTATGGAGGTAAGTGCTCCACCAGAAGGTAGATCCTTCAGGTCACAGTTAATGCAAATGTTTTCAAAGGATGTCTCTGAATCCATAGGATGAGTTTGATTTCAGTTGGACTTAAATGGCAATTTGTAAACAAAGTATAATCTAGTTTCTCTTCTCGACCTATTCTTGCTGAGATAAGCTGTTTGGGGCCCTTAGTCCAGGTTCCAATATTAGATTTGTAAAGTATTGTTCATATCAAGACATTTCAAAACTAGTTGAATGTTTGAAATATAGAGGTCAGGTCAGAAGGGGTGCTGTTACAATAGGTACACAATCACAGCTCCTCTGTTTCTGTTTGATTGGTTGAAAAGAGTATTTAAATATTCAGTTTATTTGTAAAGAAGAAATCAGTTTATGGTCATCTGTATTCCTACTTCCAATTTGTTTGTCAGCAAATGAATCCTTTTATTGTAACTTTAAATCAGGTCTTGAGCAATGACTGATTACATATCATATCTTCAAATACCCCTCTATGTTGTCGACTTCTTGTTTGTGTTTCAGAAACTTTTTGCAGTGATTGGCCCACCACTTACAGAGGGGAGGGGCCTCACAGGTAAGGCTGTAAACCACACATCCCAGAGTTCATAGCACCAATTATTTGAAGAATCTCCATAGTTTTTATTATACTTCTTTGCATTTTTTCTTTTTGCACAGATGAGGAAGTGGTGATGGGAAACAAACTGTTGGTGTATATCAGGTATGTTAATGCCTCAGTTTATCAGACTCTGGTATACATTATAGCCAAGATTTGCCTACAGCTGCTACCACATGGTCACTGTCAAGAGGAGTCACACATTTAATGTGATTGAGAGGTGTCACTAAACTCTAGAGGTGCTAATAACGTGCATAATATGGGCAATACTGTAGGGATTTGGCTTGTGAACCGGAGGTTAATGCTCTAATTATAGGGTGAACATGAAAGACATAAAAGGGGAAGAGTGTACAGTATACAGGGGTTCTGCACCTTTATAAACACAATACAATGTATGTACTGCACACATATCTCATGAAGCATGCACCTGTGTTAAAATCCTAAACACTGTTAATACACACTGTATATAAAAGTGTGTGTGTTTTGTAGCTGCTGTCTTGCAGGCAGGGCGTATCCACTAGGAGACATCCCTGAAGACCTGGTGGTTCAAGTCAAGAACCAGGTATGTCGTTTGTGTGTGTATGATTTTACTTGATTTCCACATACTTTTAGATGGCCCGTCACGTTTAGAAAGGCACATTTAAATGTACTTTTTATTCATTAATTGGCTCCATGTGTCACAGTTGTTAAGTCGATGAGCTATCCTGGTGTTTATAGACTGCTGATCATGTTACTATTGTCAACACAAACACACCTTTTTTATATTCTTGTGTGCTAATGATGTTTTGTGTGTTTGTGTGTTTTCTGTGTCAGGTGTTTGAGTTTCTTATCCGTCGGCATTCAGGCGACTCGTTAGAAAAGGAGGAGCTCTTTCCTTTTATACGTACTCTCCTCCACTTTGATACCCGGGAGTTCCTCAATGTCCTCGCCATGGTGAGGTTCCTTCACATCGTATTAACCCTTGTCATGCTGATAAATGTGTGTTTAGCATGTTGAAAGATTGGGAACTGTATCTTTGATAACTTATAGTGCTCAATGAATCATAATTACCCCTCACATTAAGTAGAAAGGTCAGTTAACTTGCCTTTTTATTTGTCTTGCAAAAAGTCAGATTAATAGATTTGTAATTCCTCCATCTGGATGCATTGGCCTGAACATTTGCTACTATAATATTCCAGTCATAAGAATGTTGTGTTTGCATTAGTCCTTTGTCTCATAGCAATTATACTTTGTACTCTGCTGGAGTGACTTTCTAATTTGAACCAAATTTGAAAATTACCATGACCTGGTACAAGAGAAGAGACATATTGTGGGGGAAACTTCTGTGTAGCAATGCAGGAGGAGTCGCCGACTCAAAGGAGACACGGGGAGAGCTAGAGCTTTGATGTCAAACACTGATGGGTTTATTTAGGAGCTTCGGCCGGAGGTTCTGACTTCACGGTAGAGTTGCCACGTCAATTCTGAAGAACTCTCCCCCAGACCCATGTGTTTAGCTAGTGCTGAGAGAATAATCAACATTGTGCATAACAAGATAGAATCATAACACCTCTATCAGCTGACGCCAACAGGCAGGAACAGGGAGACAGAACACTGAGAGCACAGCAGCCCAGGTTACAGGTGCGTGTGCTCAGTCAGGACAGTTTGAACTGATACACTGGGTCACAGTTATGGGCCTTGGGACATATTTCCCCAACACATATAATAACTGACTTGAGGGTTGTTGTTTGTTTTTTGTATTAATTTGACACGACGATGTCATATAAAATCAGTACTTTTATTATGTTTTGATAAAAATTGTAGAATATAATCCAAAATTATATAAATAACTCTCTCAAAAAAATGTAATTAAAGTTTCAAAGGTTTATTTTTCAGGTGTTTAAACAATATATAAGTAGAATGCAAACTAATCGCAATGCAATTACACTTTGTTAAAATAATTCTTGCAATAAATATACATTTTTGGAATAGATTAGTAATGATTTTAATTAACAAAAAGTAATTGACTATGTTAGGACTGTTTTTCGTTAACCGTCACATTATCCAGAGAATAATCCACAACGGTTTTCATTAGATCAGCTTTGAGTGATTGGGGAGCTCCAAGAGGGGAGGGGGGGTCCACCATGGTTAGTGTGTGATTCACTGCCACACCCAGTATCTCTGGTATCCAACTATAATTTCCCTATATCTTGAATTGTTTGAATAAAAAGGAAACTGCAATCAGTCCAGATGTGTTTTTTTTTCTTAGAAAATTGAACTGTTACATTAAAAACAATTAAGATTTGCTCTTTTAATTATTTTAAGTTTGTTTTCCTGCTTCATTCTAGACATTTGAAGACTTTAAGAATGATAAGCAGGCCCTCGAGTACCAGCAGAGGGTAGTGGACATCCTACTCCAGGTAAAATATATAAAGATAATTCATGTTCTGTGTGTATCTTTGATCTGATTGTTGATAGTAAAGAGAGGCTCTCAGTAATCTGACAGATCCATCCACATTCACTGACCTTCTCTTGGTTGTTACTCTCTGTCACAGAAATTCCACAATTGACCAGGGCTGAACAGAAAACACAGTGACATGGTCATCTTATGTAGCTAGATTATTACATTTATATAACATATCCAACAACACACTAGGACAGCATTTAGTTGGGTTTAAGAGGGCTTTTATTAATATCATATTTGTGTTTTTATTGTCCCTGTCTTTTCTCTCTATCTTTCTCTTTGGTTTGATCATCGTCTCTGTCTCTCTGGTTACCTAGGTGATGGTGGACAACCCAGACTTCACTCCCTCCCAGGTGGGCGGGCTCTTCACCTTTTTGGCTCGTCAGTTGGCCAAGCCAGACAACACACTGTTTGTGAACAGGAAGCTCTTTGATCAGGTAACCAATCAGAGCCTGAGTCTTTGATCATTGATCATATGACCCTAATGGTTTCACTCAGAGAGGCAGTTTACTTTTTAAATGAATTTAGAAACAATGCAGTAATATGTTTAGATAGTGGGGGCAAAAGCTTCCCCTTACTGCTTGCATGTACTTTAATGTTACTACCCCACCTTGACAGCTCCATCTACAGGAGGGGCTTTTAATCCACTTTATGATTTTGAGGCTTGCATAAAGGACTTTTAGTATCGATGACCCCCTAATTCAATGCATGCCCTCCCTCACAAGTTTCACCAGACTCCTCCACTGTTGTATTATTCCTCCTCATCTTGACTCTGTGTCTGCAGGTGCTGGAGTTCCTGTGTTGCCCAGACGATGACTCTCGACACACTGAGAGGCAGCAGGTTGGTGAAAGAAACACAAAGAAGTTTCTCTCTCTCTCTCTCATCGTCAATTTGAGTATCCATGATTGCTCCGCAGGTCAAACACAATTCTACCAGATTGAGATCCTGAAATTATGGGAGGCATAAAAAAGGTTAAATCTCAGTGGTTATATACTGTATATACAGTATGTTGTACTTCTACTCTCATGTGTGCAGTCTGTGATCTAATGTCTCTGGGTGGATGGTGGTTTGCAGGTTCTGCTGGAGCTGCTGCAGGTCGGGGGGGTGGTCCAGTTTAATGAAGAAAGGCTGCTGACTTTGGCAGAGAAAGCCAATTTGTGAGTAGCTGACCAAACCATGTAAACAAAGACATTCACATTGAATAATTGTAAAGTGGAATTAGAAAGTAATTATAGCATTTTTGCATTTTGTCGATGATTGATTTGTTCTACTTTTTATCCTTTGAGCAATATGAGTTTACAACCTTGGTCCAAGTTATGCAAATTACAGTTCATCCCCAACTGCTCTCTATCTGTGTGTGTGTGTGCTGGGCAGGTCTATCAGGGAAGAGGATGGGGCACTGAGACTGAACTAAACAGCACATTTGGATATGTTTTTCTATTTAACCAAACCAAATCTTTAAAAGGGAAGAAAAGCTCCATAGAGTGAAAGCTTAAAGTGCAGAGTTGGTGATGATTTCCTGCAGGTCTGCCACTCTGAGAGACACCTTTAGAAATACACGTATTCCTTTAATCCATATTTAAAAAAAATACAGTGCAGCTTTGACTTTTAATTATGATATTTCACAGACCCACCCTATACATTCACTACACTATCTAAAAGAGCTCAGTCTTACTATACTGCTTTCTGTGGACCCTCATGTCATCAAGAAGTTTGCTCAAATAACTGTGAAAAAAAACCCAGGGTCAACAATAACTTATTAGAGTGCAATTAACATTTGTGAATATCACATGTCATGGTCCTCAATGTCATTTTGTATCACACTGTCTCCTCTCCCTTCAGCTACCAAATCTGTGAATTTCTCTATGAGAAGAAACATCTGTTCGACCGGATCATCGACTGCTACCTGAGAGACCCCCTCAGGAAGGTAACATGTGTGCGATTGATATGTGTAAAATGTGTGAATTTGCATGTTTGTTCATTCATGTGGGTGTGTGGGACCTTCATTTGCTGGTTATGATTGCATGGTGCAAGCTGTGTTTTCTCAACTTTTCCAGGTTGAAATAAAGCTTTTAAGATGTTTGTGTGTGTGTGTGTATCAGGGGGAGATCTTCAGCTACATCCACAATCTGCTGTCCATGCCCGGCTACAGCGCTGAGGAGAAACAAACAGTGAAGGTCAAAGTGCTGCAACACATACAGGTCAGAACATATTCAGACAGATAATTAGCGTTCTGCCTTAATGTCACTTCACACCACCAACGCTACACTAATATTTGAAGCTATATATATATATATTTATATATATTTTTTGTATCGTTTGCATGAACCACATTTTCTTATAGAGCAAAATCGATCATCCCAGCAGACATGGAGATACGAGGAACATGAATGATATAAGATTTTGTGCTTACTCTTTTTGCATTTAATGAGAATTATAGTATTTTATTCATAGCAGCGTAGCACAACTCAAGGTCTCAGCTTCTCAAGGTTAAGGTAGTTGCAGTAGAAAGTGGCACGCTGGTTGGTCACGAGTTGAGTGTTTGCATTAACATACAAACCCTCTGACATCTGTTCACAGGAGCTGGTGACCCTTGACCCCAGCAAGTCAGCTGACATGGTGCTGTTTCACTTTGCTGAAGAGGTGCAGCAAATCATCTCTGAGCTTCAGGTAAGGTCAAAATAAAAAGTGATGTTATTATATCTTCTTTATCTGCTAATTATATTTCTCACAGTCTAGATACTTATACATTTCTGCACTGAAACTGAAAAAACGTTTTACTTCACTGGAACTCATATCGAGATTGGCAAATATTTATTTAAGGTGCAATATGTACTGTAGCCTAGCCACCTGCTCCAAAGAAGTATATGGAGGCATTTTACTTCTAATATGCATTCAGTGTATATTTACTGTCAGCAGCTATATAAAGAGAAGAGCAGTCCAGCGCTCAGATGGTCGACAGTGCCATCTCCATCATTGACATACGCATGTTTGATCCCCAAATTTCCATCAGTGTTTGAGTGTGTGTGAACTAGCTTATGATGAGGCGTTTGGCACCTTTACAGCTTCCCTGCCATTCATCTGAATACTTTATTTATCTTGGGGGAATTGGGTTTTGTAACACTTGCTCCATTTTACGATGAAATAAATAAAATATTGAATAAAATTGAATTAAAAAACGATATAATCATAAGAAGTTTTAGTAATAATATGTAACATAGTTTACGTTACATCTTTGTGTTTACTGTGACCCTGACAACGTCCTGTTCGTTTTTTGGATCTATTAAAAAAACTCAATCAAATTCGCACAGCTAATCCATGTATTGTGTGATAAGAGGACATATAGGTGATAGTCAGTTGGCAAGCTGCTTTTTGTAAATATCTCTGCAAAAAAACAACTCATTTTATACAAATGCGGGGCCATTGAAAAAATCCATGAAAACAGGAAGCCTTTATGGAAAATGTGGATGTAGTTATTGTTGCCGTTGTTGCCGTTTTTTTTGTCTTTCAATGCGGAAAATAATAAAGAAAATGATGGGTTAGGGTTTATAAAAATATATTTATCTGTGCAACACAATATATACACACCTGCTGTACAAATGTATCACTCTCTCTCTCTCTCTCTCTCTCTCTCTCTCGCTCTCTCTCGCTCTCTCTCTCTCTCTCTCGCTCTCTCGCTCTCTCGCTCTCTCTCTGTCCCTTCAGGATGACCAGTTACTCTTCAGGTTCCTCAGCTGCCTCCTGGAGCCACGGTAGGGGGGGCTTCTTGTCCTAGTGATAACTCTGCTGCCTATCTCCTTATATACATTATCTCCTCCTCTCCTCCCTCCTCATCTCCTCCTTCTCTTCCTCCACATTTCTTGATGTGCTGTGTCACAGGGAGGGCCATCTCTCAGGGACCATGCTGCCTCTGCAGAGGGACCTCCATGAGCTCCTGCTGGACTTACTGTGCCGCTTCGGCCCCCGGCAGCTCCTGGGCTTCCTGCAGACCTCCCAGCACTACAGACTGGAGGAGGCCATACAGGTACCGTCCACTATACTGTCATTAAAGTCATTGCATGTGTTTGTGAACAGGGGTTAAACTTACTCCAAGTCCACAGCAAGGCACGTTTTTAAATATAGCACCTTTTAAACACGGGGTAATTCAAAGTGGTGGAAAAAAACATAAAACCATTATGACGAACATCAAAGGAAAACATCATTAAATTACTGTATAAAACACAGAGATTAAAGTTAAAGAAATAGGTACATACTTAATTTCACCTGCTTAACATTAGCATGTTAGCTGTTATTGTGAGCATGTTATCATGTTGTTGTTAGCATTTATCAGAGATGCTAGCATGGCTGTTTGGTTTTATAGTTCAGCGCCCTCCAATTTCGCAACAGTAGATGGTTTGATGAGTGATTGGGCTGCATGTTCTCAATGGTAACTGGCTTACATCGTTCATGAATGCAAGACTTTTAGAAGGATAATAGAGAAAATATCAATATTTCAGGTCTCTTTGTTTCACACATTTAACCAATGATGTTCTGTCTCTCTCTGTTTTTAACTTGTAGACACAAGCACATCAAATAAAAGTTCAGAAATGATTTTACTTTCAATGTGTTGTGCAACCAAGGTCTGAGATTCTTCCTACAAAAACTGTTCTTCTGCGTCTTTCTTTCCACCTCTGTAGACAACTCAGAAGTACCACCACAGCGAGGCCACAGCCTACTTGCTGGAGATGAAGGGAGATGTTCATGGAGCTTTTGCTGTCCTGTTAGAGGTAGCTACAAACTAGCACAGATAAATCCTTTTTTGGATGTATTAATGAACGAAAATATCACCATTTACCAATTTGAAATGTGTTTGCTTTGAAGACTCTGAAGGAGAAACTGAGTGTCCTCACTGCTGAGAGTGAGAGAGCAGATGAAGGGGGGGAGGAGAGAGACAGGGATCACACACTGAGCAGAGTGAAGGAGTCGCTGAATGACATCATAGAGCTGTGCCACCGAAGCTCTGACAACCTGGACCAGCAACAAAGAGAGGTACTGCTGCTTTCATGCATGGGATGCAAGGTATTATTTTCAGTCCTGCATTTGTGTTTAACGGTATTACATTTATATCAACAAAATATATGATATGAATAATTAGAGGATTAATGGTCATTAATCCGTAATTTTGTTATTAGAGCTTCGTTTTGTTTTTATGCACTTCTGTATTGGATGTTGTCATTTAATCTATCCACAGAATGTGACGAGAAGATTTATAAGGCATATTTACCGAATTTAAATATCTCCTTTACCTTTAACAGTTTGACAGTGTCCTTTATCCACTCATGCAACACAAACCACTACTTACTAAAAAGTAAGCACATTAATTGTTTATAATTGTTTATCATTTAAACCGCTCTCTTATACATCCATGATTGATACGCGAGTAGTTATAACACTTTCTCATAGCCTGCACTTGTGTTTCCTCACTCCCCTCTCCTCCCTCCTCACTCCTCTCTCCTCCCTCCTCACTCCTCTCTCCTTGACGTCTCTACATACAATTGCGACGTCCTTTGATTTGGCGTGCCCCGATCAATTGCTGGGTAAAGGAGAGAGGACAGAGGAGGGATTTTGGGATAAACCTGCTGTCTCCTCATTCATCTTTTTTTGTCTCACAGGTCTTGTGGTTTCCACTTCTGGAGACCATGATGGCCTCTCAAAAACTAGTGAAGGGGCTTCATGACGAACACACATTTGAGGGTAAACACGCGCACACACACACAAACACACACACACACACACACACACACACACACACGCGCACACACACAGGAGGAGCAAAGATTCACATTCTTTGACCCTCGTTTTGTTAATGTGTTTTTATTTTAATGTGGAACAAAACAATTCATCCAGATATTTAAGATTTAGATTAGATTGGGCAAGTATTACATATCAAGAATAGAAACATATCTTTATGATTATATTTGGTATGATTGTGTCTTATGTAGCCATTTTTTATTATTCATCAGCTCAAACAGTTGGCCAGTGATAATGATGGTGAAGATTATTCAGACAATTTTGCTGGTGTTTTGTGTGTGGTGTGTGTGTGTGTTTGTGTGTGTGTGTGTGTTGTGTTGTGTGTGTGTGTGTGTGTGTGTGTGTGTGTGTGTGTGTGTGTGTGTGTGTGTGTGTGTGTGTGTGTGTGTGTGTGTGTGTGTGTGTGTGTGTGTGTGTGGTGTGTGTGTGTGTGTGTGTGTGTGTGTGTGTGTGTGTTGTGTGTGTTGTGGTGTGTGTGTGTGTGTGTGTGTTGTGTGTGTGTGTGTGTGTGTGTGTGTGTGTGGTGTGTGTTGTGTGTGTGGTGTGTGTGTGTGTGTGTGTGTGTGTGTGTGTGTGTGTGTGTGTGTGTGTCTCAGTGCTGAAGGAGCTGACCATGAAGGTTCTCAACTGTATGAGCAGCTTTATTCCTCTGCCTGCCATCATCCAGCGGATACTGCAGGTGTGTGTGTGTTACTGCTATTAAAAAATATTAAAATAAAATTATTATTCACTTTTGTAAAAATCTTATTTCACAACTGCAACTTGCAAAAAAGACAACCTACACATTGTTAATGATCTGTTTTGAAACACTCAAAACTATGATTAGTCCAGCATGATGTTAATATAAATAACAGCAATGTTTTTGATAAATACAATGAAAGATAAATCCCGCTATTTGTAATCTTTCATTGTGTTTATAATCCGGAGTGCAGGAAGTGTCCTCTGAGTTAAATCAGGATCAGTTTGTGATTGACCACGCCCACATGCACCAATCAATAGAGCATTTCAGAATGTTGGTTAATACTGTACATGCCCCAAGAGCATGCGCAGAAGAACTGTTGAAATTCACCTCTCTGGGTTACATTTGACAGATTATTCAAATTTGCAATAATCCATGATGCAAGATATTTATGATCCAAGGGGACTTGTTGTAGAGCAGATGTTGCTGAAGGGCTGTAACTTGTGATTTAATAAAAGCGAGATATGTCCCTTTGTGATGTTTTCTGTGTATGACGTGACGCCTTTGTGTGTCAGGACCCGGTCTACGGGAGAGGAAAGCTGGCAGAGATCCAAGGCCTCATCCTGGGTATGCTGGATACCTTTAACTATGAACAGGTAAACACTTTGTATCATAAGTAAACAGCAGCGCAGCACCTGAACACAACACATATCAGAGCTGATCATCTATGCTGCCTGTAAACAAATAAATAAAACAGACCTAAATGTTTTACTCTGGTTATGTGAAGAAAAACTTTTGCTTGTTTAGATTTCAAACTTGTATTTTATATGTGAATATATCTGTAATTGACATGAAATATTAAATGATTCAATTTAATTCAAATTAGCTTTATTGGCATGACGATAATAAACACACAGTTAAAACAATAAACAATCATGTTAACAATTTTAGGTATAAGTAATTGAACATAACTAATTGAAATCATTAATAATATACCAATGATGATAATATATAGATAATATAACATACTGATCTGTAATGATGAAAATCTCTATTTCCTCACGACTTCTACAAGAGAATAATAATGCTGTCTGTTCTGTTTTAGACTCTTCTTGAAACCACCACCAGTCTGTTGAACCATGACCTCCACTGGTCCCTCGCTCACCTTCGCGCCGCCGTCACAAGGGGGCTACACCCCCGACAGGACCACTGTAACATCTGCCTGCAGCAGTACAAGAGGAGGCATGACTCTGCGGAGGAGATCATCGTGTTCAGGTACCACTGCAGCAGACTCAAAGTCACATGACCTGTGGCTTCTGTTATGTCTCACAGGCTCCGCCCTCTACTGGACTCTATGGGTACTGCCCTCGACCTCACTATGCGAGCGTTCACCTACTGAGAAATCTATAAACGTAGCCGGCCCCCGGGGGCGGGCCTACCTGAGTGCGTTCTCTTCTAAAAATAAATAAATAAATAAAAAAGTAGGCGGCAGTGGCTCAGTCTGTAGGGACTTGGTCTTGGAACCGAAGGGTCGCCGGTTCACGTTCCGATTGGACCAACAACAACAAAAAGTGAGCTGGTAGCTGGAGAGGTGCCAGTTCACCTCCAAGGCCACTGCCGAGGTGCCCTTGAGCAAGGCACCTAACCTTGAAACTGCTCCCTTAGCGCCAGGTACCTGGCAGCCTCTCTGCTCTGCTACCTCTCCTATCTGCATGTGGTTGTGTGGGTGCATGTATATCCTCTGTGTGTGTGCATGTATATCCTCCCTGTGTGTGTAATGTGTGTAAACACAACAGAGTGGGGAAAGACATTTCCCTGTAAGGGATTAATAAAGTATATCTTCTTCTGCTTGTTCTTCAAATTAGTGTTTCTTTCTTCAATTGAGTGCTCTAAGGAAGCCTTCAGCTTCTGCAAAGTCTCCTCATGTTTATGTCAAACGAAAGCATCACATATGTACCTGCCCTAAGCTTTGTGTGTGTGTGTGTGTTGTCAGCTGCGGCCACCTGTACCACTACCAGTGTCTGCAGCAGAAGGCCTGTGGGGGGGGCGTCACTTCAGAGCTCAACCAGCGCTGGAGCTGCTACAAGTGTTCCTCCAGCCAGGGGGGGAGGGGGGGGACTACCACCGAACTGAAGAGAGGCCACACCACGTCTCTGGCACAGGTGTGTGTGTGTGTGTGTGTGTGTGTGTTGTGTGTGTGTGTGTGTGTGTGTGTGTGTGTGTGGTGTGTGTGTGTGTGTTGTGTGTGTGTGTGTGTGTGTGTGTGTGTGTGTGTGTGTGTGTGTGTGTGTGTGTGTGTGTGGTGTGTGTGTGTGTGTGTGGTGTGTGTGTGTGTGTGTGTGTGTGTGGTGTGTGGTGTGTGTGTGTGTGTGGAATATACCTTAGATTAAAGGAGAAATCAGATGCTCATCAAACCCTTTAGAAGATCCTAACAAAGATTGTTTCAGATGTTTTCACATGCTAACCTTTTATTTGTGAATCTTTGATCAGGGTGTCGCAAATCGATGGTTATCGTCTAGACAGGACCATGTCAACCATGTCAACCCCTTGGTTCCTACTGAACATATTCATGTATAAATATAAGCTTACAAACATAGGGCTCTATTTTCCTGCAGTCGCAAAGAAACACTTGGGTGCAAGCAGATTTGATGCACTTCCCTTTAGTAGAATGTATCTTTAGCATCAGTAATTTACTGGTACTGAACTAATGTGCTGACAAATTATCTCAGACCAACCATTGTACAAAATGATTTGATGATTCTGTAGAATATTTGTATAGATACACTGTTGTGAATTTTCTCTCTGTCTCCCAGACTCGTGTTACGTCGGTGCATCATGACGGAGGAGCAGAGGCTAACGGGAAGAAGGTACAGCTCACAGACAGGATATAGAAATGATTTACTGCTGGTGGGCCGCCATCTTCGGCTCTGTTGAGATTGTTATGTTTTACAGTCAGATTGAATTTCAGTCGTTCAATTTAAAAAGGCAATTCCTGCTTATAACAACCTTGGCCTCATGTCCTGCTACTTATTGTTTTACATAATGTACATCATTTGTAGCAGTGCTATAAACACAGTACATAAAGCTTTATTGCAGCATTCTAATGTGTCTACTGTCAGGTATGTAGGGAGGCGTGTGGCGCAGTGGATTGTGCGTATGTGTTCGGATCAGGGGGTCACAGGTTCAAACCCCACTGCAGTCAGCATGTCGTTGTGTCCCTGAGACACTTCACCCCAAATTGCTCCTGTGGGGATTGCCCACAGTATTGAGTATGTAAGTCGCTTTGGATAAAAGGGTCTAACAAGTGACATGTAATGTAATGTAATGTAATGTATGTGATTATAAAGCAACGAGGGAAAGGACCTGCAGTCCCTGGAGGGAAAGAAGGGAGTGACAGGCCTGGAGGGTGGAGTTTTATAAGCTTGGCTAGGGGAGTGGTCTACACTTGATTGACAGTCTAGTGTTTCAGGTAGAGAGGAGACTTGGGGTTTTTAGCAATATAAAAAAAGTGTATTTCTGCTGCTTGTACTACAGCTGCTCTCTGCATTAGTTCATTTTAGTTAGTGCTTATTCTTTGACAACCTTCTTCTGTTCTTCATCGTGGGCCAGGTGTTTGTTGAAGTGACGCTGGACTCTCAGCAGGAGCAGTCCTGGGATCAGCTGCGCTGTCTGTACAGAGGACCGTCCAGGGTGAGCTCAGGAAGAACCTCCCTGTTAACACATCAACCCTTTGAAGTATTCTTTTATGATTTTCAACACAAGGTTGAATTGTGATAATGCTATAATAGATTTGACACAGAGATATGAACAACATGATTAACAGCAGCATTACATACAGTAATCTGCTATAATACAGCGTAGTGTTGTGCATGCATTATGCCAACCTTGTTAATAGAACATTGATATTGGTTTAGAAAAATTCCAGACAGCCTGCTTCTTCAGAGTTTTATGGTTTTTTACTATTTTTTTTATTTATATATATATATTTTTTTTTTTCTTTTCGGTAACACTTTATATTAAGGTGCACAAATTCACCATCAACTAGTTGTTAATTAACATGCATATTAGCAGTATATTGGCTCTTTATTAGTCATTATAAAACACTTATTAATTCCTTATTCTACATGACCATATTCTACAAGTAATAAGCCATTAGTTGAGAGTTTTTCCTCAATAACCCTCTAATTAGTGCTTATTTATTGCAAGTAAGGAATTGTTGTACATTAGCTTTGGTCTTAATATGCTCTGCTCAATATGGGCCTAATAAGGCAGTAGTACCACAAGAATAGTAATTCTCCCGTAATAACACTTAACAAATATGATCTATTCTTCTGTAACAAGACATAAGACTTGTTATACTATAAACTATAAGTGTTAATTGTGTCTAAATAACTCAAAATGAGGTATTTCTATCTAAGAATATGTTCCCCATTTTAAAGTGAAGTCTTGTTCATAACCAATAAACTAGTAATTTGACTCTAATTGACCTGAACAGGTTCCCTATTCTGAAGTTGCCTCCTCTTCACACTTTGTAAATACATTATAGCACACAACTACTGAAATTAACCTCAACAGCACATGCACAAAGTAGGCACAAGTTGAAATATCTGTTTTATTAATGAACCACTAAAGAGAGGTTCAGACACATGTACCAAAACATGTCAAGTTTCTCCAAGGCTGAGAACACATCTGCAGCCTGTACTTTTTAATAAAAAAAGGTTTTTAACAGAGTTTATATATGTGTGATCATACTGTGTGACCTGCTTGTATGTACTTACGCAATAGGTGAAAGGTGGATATTGTGTTTTTGACAAGACTAACAGTGTGTGTAATCATGCCATACATTTTAAAAGTGTCAATAAATGTTCAGTACAAATTTTACAAAAATGTAAATGTGCAAATATTAATACATTGCTAATATTAAGCATACTATGCTGGTGACCAGCATAGTATGCTGGTGTGCATCAACCTATCACCAGCTTATGTTTAATAATAGTATTAAATATACCATGCTGGAAGCTTACCAGGATTCCAGGTGGCCAGCATACATTGTATAAATACTGGTATGATAATTTAAACCAGAGAACATACATATATTACAAAGATTCATTGTGTCATGTATTCTGGTAACTATCACAATAAATACATTGTATAGTGTTCATAACAGTATTAAGTATTAAACAGTAATAAATAGCTAGTTAATATAATAAAATACACAGTAACAATACAATAATTATACAAAAAACAACCAACCTACAAATTAACCTACATCAAAATAAATATATTATCTAAAACGGGTGCATTTGATTAAAAATAATAAATAGTGTTTAATATTTAAATGGGAACAAAAACAGTAACAATATGTATGATAAGAAATGCAACAAAGAAATTACAACATTTTTTTCTTGTTTATTTCCTTTCCCAATCTGGCCTGCATTTCTGTCTGTTGAAGCCACTTCTTGAAGCAAACTGAAAAGAAATGTACATATATAAGTACAGTGATACAGTGATACAGCTTCACCAGCAATAGAGTTATTTTAGACACAATTAACACTTATAGTTTCATGTCTTGTTACATAAGAATAGATCATATTTGTTAAGTTTTATTATGGGATAATTACTATTCTTGTGGTACTACTGCCTTATTAGGCCCATATTGAGCAGAGCATATTAAGACCAAACCTCATGTACAACAACTTCCTTACTTGCAATAAATAAGCACTAATTAGAGGGTTATTGAGGAAAAACTCTTAACTAATGGCCTATTACTTGTAGAATATGGTCATGTAGAATAAGGCAATAATACGTGTTTTATAATGACTAATAAAGAGCCAATATACTGCTAATATGCATGTTAATTAACAACTAGTTGATGGTTAATTTGTGTACCTTAATATAAAGTGTTACCTTTTTTTCCTCTTTTCTCGTGTGTGGAACCCAGGAAGAATAGCCAATGCTAGTGTTAGTGCTAATGGATCATAGAAGACATAAATGGTAGTTTTATAACCATGACCAGGACTGGAAACTCCAAAACCATCAAATCTTCTATTAATGCAATTTTTTAAAACTTAATATCTACCTTGCGATTACTATTTAAAGGTCACCTATTATGCTATATTTGAACAATATATTATAGGGCCATATCTATACAAAACATGTCTCTGAAATGCTTTGCTCAAAATACCAAACAGATCACCCATTCTAGCCATGCCTCATACCCCCAGCCCTAGAGAAGTGCTGATTCTGGGTCTGGCCCTTTAAATGTAACCGAGCTACTGCTGGCCACGCCCCTTTGGAGCGTCCGCATGCAAGCAGTGAGCTCTGTGAAGAGAAGGCTGTCTATCAGCAGAAACTCAGCTAAACGCTACCGTGATTTAACACCATATTATGTTCCAAACCACATCAAGGATTATTTCTGAAACAGTGTGGAGCTCAAACGCTTTCTCTCTCGCAGGTTTACCACAAGGACAGTACCTTTTATATCCGGCTTCTTTACACATACTCTCTCCAGTACAGCGTTAGCTCTGAGTGTTAGCGATGCTTGCTAATGTAAACACAGACCATATTACTTTCAAAACACCTTGCTCATTGTTTCTGATACAGCACATAGCTTCCCATGTTCTTTATTCAGTGTTTACCGCTAGAACAGTGCCATTATATGTAATATATATGTAACAACTTTACTCTAAGTCCCTCCTGTAGATATCCTGCTGAATACACAAACACACAGCTGGGGAGGGGATTCAGCTAGCAACTGTATATGGGGACAATAGGTTGGGCGGGACATTACCAGGAGTTCAACGTAAAGCCAGCCCACATTTTAGTAATGTCGTCTTATCGGCAGCAACTCTGGATCAGCTCCGTTGTAGCCGCGTTTTTTGGGGATGTGGGTAAGGAGGAAAAGAGAGGGTTTTATTTTCTGACACTTTGTGAGTCTCCTTACACACCGGGGACACATATTTATGTATAAAAGACATCAAAAAGTGCATTTTGCATATTAGGTGACCTTTAACACTTATACAGGTACTTTAGGTAATTATTTCAGTGTACGAGTGTGTTCTAAAATATGTTCTCTCTCTCTTTCTTCCAGTTGTCCATCCTTGCAGAACTCTCACAATGCCAAAGCAATGAAAAGACAGGGCTACTGATGCCGACCCAACCCGGGACAGAGAGTTTCCAACTCAAACTCTCTCCTCCACCCTTAATAGAAGAATAGCACCATCACTGGATCATATTTTCTTCATTTGTTCAGAGACTGAGATTTAGCTTCCATCTGATTTCCTTCATTCCCTAACTATCTTCCATAAGTAAAGATTGCATTGTAACACTTGTATTATTATTCAATGACATTTGATATTATATAAAATGTTTCAATATGTTTATTTCAAAACAAACTGTCTGATTCTGATAATATCTGATCATTTTACTAATCTCATCCATTGTAAATGTGCTGCAGTTGGCTGAACTGGGTTGCTTTATTTGCATGTTTTTTGTGACGGAAATTATACGGAAACTTTGTTTACACCCAGTAAAAACACGCTTTAGCCTCTCTTTTTTTTTTTAGAATGTGTCGGAGCAGGGAGGGCTGTTAATTTATTCCGGCAAATTACTCAGACCTGCTAATTGACCTAACAGAAGTTATTGAGTCCCTGTAAGTTTACTGCTTGGCTCAGATCCACCAACGTTTCAATTCAGAAGACCCACTAAATCTGTTTAAGCGATCCCGAAGGATTTTGATATCAGTAAATGAGGTGTGGCCCTACCTAAGTGTGAGTGTGGCAGTTGTGCAATCTTACCTTAAGCAGGAGAGGAGAGCGCAGATTTCCTTTTAAGTTGTCCCAATCCAAAAGGTGGGATCAGTTTATTTGAAGAAAAATGGTCCACACTTGATTACAATATGACAATCCTACAAAACATATCATGCTGTGATCATTTTCTAATATGAAACCTCAATTCACAGTTTTACATTTATTACCCTGAAATGTAACTTCAACTGCCCAATTCAGTTGTGACATTTAAAATCGTCCGACAGAATTTAGAGGCATCTCCTCATAAATGGCCGGTGATAATAAAAAGCACATTCAAACTTTCATTCAACAAACCAATTCTCATACAGACCTATATCCAGCATGAATTCAGAGGACCATCCTCATAGGTGGCTGGGTGCTAATATTCAACAAATCAATTCACATACACCGCTATCCAGCATGAATTCAGGGGGAAGTTCCTCATAGGTGGCTGGGTTATAAAACTAATTCGAACATTCATCAAACAATTCACTCAGCGTTCAACAAATCAATTTGAGAGATCTTACCAAGTTTGAGAGCCCTTACCGGGAGAGAGCTTACCAGGGGAAAAACCCCCCCACTCTCGAGTTTTCTCCCTCTCAGCTAGTGCTTTTATGATCCACACAGGGACAGAAAACCAAAGACACACCTTCATGCCCATATTTGTGGAAAAAGGGCATGGCCTCTGATGTGCAGGACTGGACATGTCCAGACATATTCTATGGCTATGGCATAAACACCTTTTTGGGGCCTCAGTATTTCTCCAACAAGCCATTGTGCACCGCTGTGAGGGAAAAAACTGTCTCCCCTCTCTTATCAGTGACACTCATAAACTATAATATCTTTTTAAACTCAACTTAACAAACCACTTTGTGTGGTACATACTGTGATTATAGAAAAACATAAAATATAATGCATTTTCATTGAGGGTTATACAAGAATATATTTGATTATAATTAACTTTCGTCTTAATTATTCAACCTAATATGGAGACCTCAACAAATGTTATTCTGAAACACTTCTTTATTGTAAAAATATCACAATTACCTTGTCAGCTTCTTATTGATAAATGGTCTGTGTTGACTGAAACCAAAAGTGAAATAAGACTCAAAATGTTACCTCCTTGATAACTGGTGCATGCAGCAGAATTAAAAATCTTTGATTGGATGTTTCTTAGGCCCAATCCCAAACCACGCCCTACACCCTACCCCTACACACTCTCCCTCCGTGACGTTGTGAACTCCGTGGAGTGACACTCGCAGCTCAACGAGGCTCCCTCCTGTCAGATGGAGAGAGTAAATACAGCGGCAAGCTTTGGGACAAACTCCTCTTTCTCCGGCAGAAACAGGAAATGCCGTAACTGTATGTAACAACGGTTTCAAATCAGCATCTCTTAGACAAAAATTAAAATGTATAACTAAAATAAAACTCCAAACATCTTTAATTGTGTTGCTTTTTTGTAAAGCTCTTTTAGTTTTAAACCTGATTTTTATAAGCTTCTTAGTTTTTGCAACAATCTGTAAATATACACAACTTTATAATAAAATGCACACATTTACCTTTTTCTAGACTAAACACAGGTATGATCCTAAGTAAAAAACATATGAGGTTATCATGAGGTTGTTAAAGGGCCCATGTCATGCTTTTCCGGTTATTACCCGTCCCCTTGTGTGTTATGAAGGTTTTTATGCATGTAAACGGTGTGCAGAGTCAAAACCCTCAAAGTACACCCTGTAGCGAGTAAAACTCTAACACAGAAAATACCTCCCCAAAACGCCTCGTTGGAGATACGTCACTGCCCATTTGAGTCTTCCATTTAGTTCCGGGTACGGCATGATGTCATGCGGTACCCGGAACAAAATGGATCAATCAGGAAGAGCTATGGCCACACCCAGCGGCGCTGGCCGCACCCTCTGCCAGCCTAACATTTACTGTTGGAAGCTCTGGTTCAGTTCACAATCGATCCAGTGATGCCAATGCCAAGGACCTGTTTCCTGAAATGTGAGGGGAAATCTGAGCTGTTTGTCCTACCGACGGAAGAACCACGACGAAGTCAGTGGATGAAATTTCTGTTTAACACTGTTCCTTCAGAGGTTCGAAGAACGTTACTGTGTGCGTGGCATTTCACAGACGAAAGCTTCCAAAACATTGCCCAGTTTGAGGCCGGATATGCACAGCATTTGAAACTGAAGGACGATGCTATTCCTAGTTTGTTTGGACCGTTTGGAGCAGGGGAAGATTCGGGTACACAACCTGTGAGTTTGCATTGTTATTTGTGTATTTATCAAACAAGACTGTTTAAATGTGTAAACGTGTGTCGGACTGCTAAGCCATTGACACTGTGCTAACTAAGTTGCTAGCGTTTCCATATATCAACTCTAATATCAGCAGATGGCCTTACATACATGTATCTCATAGCAGGAGAATGTCTGCATTCACACACAAAATACTCATAGACAGTATATTCCGGGTGATTTACCGTACGGTCAGTCGCGAAACGTAATTACATTATAGCTGGCGTTCCTAGCGTGTATGCTACCGAGCTAACCAACGGAGCTAGACATGGGTTTGCTCGGGAAAACATTGTTGTTATGCCAGCTACAATGAATGTAGCAGACTACCCGTATAAGATTGCAATTGTAAACATGTTCTTGCTAGCCTAATATGAATCACTAGCTTTTGTTCATAGTGGTTTTATTACACTAAACAAGCCATTGACACAGTGCTTACTGGGCTAACGACGTTGCTAGCGTTTAAATATATCAACTACAATGTCAGCAGATGGCCTTACATGTTTGTCATGGCAGGAGAATGTCTGCATTCACACACGGAATACTCATACAGTATACTCCGGGTGATTTACCGTACGGTCAGTACATTACAGTTGGCTTTCCTCCGAGCTACGCTGATAGCATGTATAGCTAACGAGGCTAGCTATACATGCTAGCGAAAAACATTGTATTCATGCCAGTTACAATGAATGACCGAACGTAGCAGACTACCCGTATAAGATTGCAATTATAAACACGTTATTGCTAGCCTAATATGAACCACTAGCTTTTGTCATAGTAGTTTTATTACACTACATTATAGTTACCGTTCCTCCGAGCTACCGTTCATATCGTGTTTGCTACCAAGGTAAACAAGAAAGCTAGATTAGCATATTAGCTGGCAAGCTTACTGTGTTGATTAGATAGATGGATTAGATAGATCCACACTCCTACCACAACTACTACTAACGAATCTAAAACAACTAAGTTTCTCTAATATTTTGTGATTTGCATTTGATTTCGTCCAGCCAGATCCTGGCGGACAATACATTACGGGGACGGGACTACCACACTGATGCCTCGTCCTAAAAAGCCCCGGCTGCGATAGGCAAGATGCCGACAACGGGGAGGAATGGATGATATACCGTGTATATATGTATATTTATGTTCATTTTGTACATTTCTAAAAATAAAGTTTGATGGAAATACTTAGTAGGCCTATCCTTTCTTCCCTGAATGATTTGCTCCTATAACATATCATTCATATATAGCAAACCATGATTTGATTTCTCATCAAACAGTAGTAGTTTATTACAGGTAAAAATAACTTACTCTTCTATAACAACAGTTGTAGGTACAGTTCGGTTAGTGTTAGCGTATAAAATATACGGCTGTACCGACGCCATTATAAGACTGATGTCCCGCTCAGATCGAGCCGAAAAAAGCACTGTTAGACATGGGCGGAGCCTCTCTGGTGGTTGACTAATCAGAGTGGCCGAGCTGACCAATCGAAGCACACTAGGCTCACAGGCAGGGGCGGACTGGCCATCGGGACGTTCGGGCCGGTTCTGTCGGACGACGTGGGCCGCTCGGATAAGTCACTAGCACCCCCACCCCCCCCCCCCCCCCCCCCCCCCGTTGACAATTTACTTGCGAAGTGTAGTCCCCAGTCCGCAGGGAGGGGGGGGCAAGAGCTCCAACGAGCCGTTTAGTGGAGAGAGTGAATACTGCTGAATACACATACTTTACAGAGATGCTGTATGAGAAACCAATGTGATTTTGGAAAATTGCACAGTATAAATCTATTTTAGTATACCTCAACAATGGAATTATGATCAGTAGAAATGGCCATGACATGGGCCCTTTAAGAATAGTTGAACTAACAACCGGAAAGTCTGCACACTGTAACCAGAAACAGTTAAACATGTAGACTGATTCTTCATTGTAAAAACACAAAAGAGGAAAGGGAAACTGCAGATAAGGCCTGTGACCAGTAGTGGAAAGCAACTAAGTACATTTACTCAAGTACTGTACTTAAGTAGACATTTGAGGTAGGCCTACTTGTACTTTACCCGAGTATTTTTTATTTATAATACTTTATGCTTCTACTTTACTGCATATTGGAAGCAACTTTTGTACTTTTTACTCCACTATATTTATTTTACACGTTTTTTTCTGAAATGTGAAGATTTGCTTCTTTTGCTATAAAATATTTAAAAAATGTGAGTATATTCTGCAATGAGTACTTTTACTAATAATTGATGTACATTTTCCTGATCGTACTAAAATACGTTTACTTCAGTACCATTCTTGTTGCAGTACTTTTACTGTATTTGTACAGTGTGGTATGAGTAGGCTACTTTTACTCAAGTAAAGAATGTGAATACTTGTTCCACCAATGCCTCAGACATCAGAAGGTTTTCTCCTCCCATGATGTCCTGTTTCCACCACTGTCCACGCGGTGGCGGTAAGGCGCCTCTAAGATGGTCTGACAGCCGCCAATAAATAAGTAGAAGAAGAAGTTCAACGTGTATCAGCTGAGCTGGCTGATAACTCTTCCATAGTACCTGATTTAGAGCATAACCACAGAATATTGGGATGGAGAATGATACTCTCGTCTCTCTTGAAGATTTAGGGTGAGTTATAAAAGTGCCATGTGTGCCTCTGTGGGAACATTATGTGCGAAAGCTGCCATTCAAATGAAGCTTATCAGTCTTTCTTATTTTGGCTTTGGAGTGTAGCTTGCTTTAGCATAACGGCTAACTTGCCTTTAGCTAACAGTTAGTGTAACGGTGATGTTTTTTCATTGCTATTCATGTGAACATTAGCCACTTGTGTGCTGACCGGTATTAATAGACGTACAGGTTTTTTACATGTTGTGCCAGCAGCTGCGTCAGCACAAGCTGCTCCCATGATTCCCATCAGAGCTCCAACACATTCCTGTCATTTCCCATTCCAGCTCCTCTTTCTAAAAATACACCACCTATTCAGTCTGTCTTGGTTAATTACTATCCTGAAATATATTGTAGCCTCTCACAATGCAGTACACGTCCTGTGCCAGTATTGAGGTGGCATTACCTTTCACTGTGTGCAATTTTACCAAGAACAAAACCCAAGAGAAAAATAGAGAACAAAAATATTTATGAAAGATGTAGAAAACCTGAACTGCCTGCAATTACCCTTCACAATAGGCAAGAAAAGTATTAGTTATTCAGTTTTTAAATGTGCTTAGTCTTGATAGGCAAAGGAACTTCGTACTTGAGTGTGGACTGGAGTCTGCTCTTTGAACCTCAGGACAGCTTATCACTGCTGCATGCTGTCCTGATGGAGCCTCACGCTGTGCCTGTCCGGGTGGAGGTGCTTTAACAAGATCTGTGTGTCTGCAGGTACCAGGGCCCTCTGTTGGAGGATGGAGCTCTGGATGGTGCATTGAGCGGAGGAGCAGCTTCCCCTGAGTTCACTAAGCTCTGTGCCTGGATCAGCACCGAGCTGAGGCTCTACTGCCAGCTGGAGGAGAATGTGCACGCCACTAACTGTGAGACTCATCACTGGTTGTTCTCTATCATGTTCTCTTGTGAGGTTGGGGTTGATGACAATGGCAAAACAAATGTCATATGTGCTTATGTTGATGACTCGTGCTGAGGTTTGGATATTGTCCAATATTAAATAATTAGGCTTGATTAGTAAGATATTATCCAATGGTAGAGGGGGGGCTATTCTTAATCACCTGTCACCAGGCTTGGGGAGTAACGGGTTACATGTAGTTAGATTACATAATTATGATACAAAAAACAAGTAGCTGTATTCGATTACAAATACATTAAAAAACAAGTAATCAGATTACTGCTACATTTAATAAATGTGTTCTTTATTTTAAATAGATTTATTTTATAATGCAGTAGGTGGACACCTAGATAGGTGGATTTATTAAACAAAAATACAATCTATGCTTTTGATTAATATATTAAACTTAAAGAGAGTTTGTAAAATGTACTGTTACTATTTTTTATATGAAATATCTCGGTTTCTTCTTTCCTAAGGTTACATTGTTACATACACACATCTTAATGTTATTTATACTGTCTTGTTTTTATTTGATATTGAGGTAATCAGGTGACATTACTTTCATATTGTGATATTCAGATTAGGGTACTGATGTTTTGACATGTAGCTAGTTATTGTAACAGACTACATTTTTAAAGTCACCCTCCCAACCCTAAGAGAGAGAGAGCAGACCTTTTCCTTGTCTTATGTCATCATGTTTAATGTGTTCGTCTACCCTGGCTCCCCCCCAGGTCCAAGCGAGGCTGAGGCCTTCCAGCTGGAGATGAGTGGCCTGCTGTCGGAGCTGGCCTGTCCATACCCTGTCCTCGCCAGCGGAGACATCACCCAGAGGTTCCTGAACAGCACCGACTGCCTGCTGCTCCTCAGTAAGATACAGCAACTCTTTTTTTTTTTTTTATACAAAAAAGTAATGCCACTTTACTTGGTTACTCACTGCTGAAAGTAATTAGTTACACTACTAGTTACATTACTTTTGGATTACTCTGTAACATCACCTTAGATGCACCATAAATCGAATGACAAAAAACAATATATAGTTTAACCTCATTAAGCCCAGATCAGCACAAATCCTTAATCTAATAAGGACAGTACTGCACACAGACCTCAGCCTTGTTTTCTTTAGCGGAGTTACTTTGTAGCGTGTTACCCCCATCCCTGGTTATAATACAATACTAAACACATTGTGTGACAGTGACAGTACCAACTGAACAAAGTAACATCTGGTAGCCTTCAGTAGTACTTCTCTTGTCAAATAATTTGCTATTTAGAGCGACTCTTTTTTTACTCTGTGTTTTTAAAAAGGTGTGTAGAGCAACAAGTCTGGATGTTCCACTGCTTAATTTTCCACCATACTGTAAGCTGTTCTTCCAGCAGATATCCTGACATTTCAAACAAAGGTGTAACTAGTGATGTTAATAACAGCAGGTAGTCGTTAAGGTGTGTCTGTGTTGTTCATGCTGGCTAGTTGCCACACTCAAAGCTGGACAGATATTTCCTTTATAATGTTGCACATGGCTGTGCAGCTACATTAATCCCTGCGCTGCTCACACCTCACCTCACACCTCACCTCACACCTCACCACACACTGAACCTCACACCTCACCACACACTGAACCTCACACCTCACCTCACACCTCACCTCACACCTCACCTCACACCTCACCACACACTGAACCTCACCTCACACTGAACCTCACACCTCACCTCACACCTCACCTCACACCTCACCACACACCTCACCTCACACTGAACCTCACACTGAACCTCACACTGAACCTCACACTGAACCTCACACTGAACCTCACACTGAACCTCACCTCACACTGAACCTCACCTCACACTGAACCTCACACTGAACCACACACTGAACCACACACTGAACCTCACACTGAACCTCACACTGAACCTCACACTGAACCCTCACACTGAACACACACGACCCACCCTGAACCTCACACTGAACCTCACACTGAACCTCACACTGAACCTCACACTGAACCTCCCACACTGAACCTCACCTCACACTGGAACCACACCTGAACACTCAACCTCAACACTGAACCTCACCTCACACTGAAACCTCACACTGAACCTCACACTGACCCACACACTGAACCACACACTGAAACCTCACACTGAACCTCACACTGAACCTCACACTGAACCTCACACTGAACCTCATCTCACACTGAACCTCACCTCACACTGAACCACACACTGAACCTCACCTCACACTGAACCTCACCTCACACTGAACCTCACACTGAACCTCACACTGAACCTCACACTGAACCTCACACTGAACCTCACACTGAACCTCACACCTCACACTGAACCTCACCTCACACTGAACCACACACTGAACCTCACCTCACACTGAACCTCACACTGAACCTCACCTCACACTGAACCTCACACTGAACCTCACACTGAACCTCACCTCACACTGAACCTCACCTCACACTGAACCCTCACCTCACACTCTGGAAAACCACACACTGAGACCTCACACCTCACACTGAACCACCTCACCGCACACTGAACCTCACCTCACAACTGACCCACCTCACACTGAACCTCACACTGAACCTCACACTGAACCTCACACTGAACCACACACCTGAACCTCACACTGAACCTCACACTGAACCTCACACTGAACCTCACACTGAACCTCATCTCACACTGACCTCACACTGACCTCAGCACTGAACCTCACCTGAACCTCACACTGAACCACACCACTGAACCTCACACTGACCTCACACTGAACCTCACACTGAACCTCACACTGAAACTCACACTGAACCCTCACACTTGAACCACACACTAACCTCAAGCACTGAACCTCACACTGAGACCACACACTGAACCTCACAGGAACCTCACACTGAACCTCACACTGAACTACACTGAACCTCACACTGAACCTCACTCACACTGAACCTCACCGTCACAACTGAAACCCACACTGAACCTCACCTCACACTGAACCTCACCATCACACTGACCTCACACTGACCACACACGAACCTCACAATACCTGAGAGACCTCAGCACTGAACCTCACCTCACACTGAACCTCACCTCACACTGAACCACACACTGAACCTCACCTCACACTGAACCTCACACTGAACCTCACCTCACACTGAACCTCACACTGAACCTCACCTCACACTGAACCTCACACTGAACCACACACTGAACCTCACACTGAACCTCACACTGAACCACACACTGAACCACACACTGAACCTCACACTGAACCTCACACTGAACCTCACACTGAACCACACACTGAACCACACACTGAACCTCACACTGAACCTCACACTGAACCTCACACTGAACCTCACACTGAACCTCACACTGAACCTCACACTGAACCTCACCTCACACTGAACCTCACCATGAACCTCACACTGAACCTCACACTGAACCTCATCTCACACTGAACCTCACACTGAACCTCACACTGAACCTCACACTGAACCTCACACTGAACCACACACTGAACCTCACACTGAACCTCACACTGAACCTCACACTGAACCTCACACTGAACCTCACACTGAACCTCACACTGAACCTCACACTGAACCACACACTGAACCACACTGAACCTCACACTGAACCTCACACTGAACCTCACACTGAACCTCACACTGAACCTCACACTGAACCTCACACTGAACCTCACACTGAACCTCACACTGAACCTCACACTGAACCTCACACTGAACCTCACACTGAACCTCACCTCACACTGAACCTCACCTCACACTGAACCTCACACTGAACCTCACACTGAACCTCACACTGAACCTCATCTCACACTGAACCTCACACTGAACCTCACACTGAACCTCACACTGAACCTCACACTGAACCTCACACTGAACCACACACTGAACCTCACACTGAACCTCACACTGAACCTCACACTGACCTCACACTGAACCTCACACTGAACCACACACTGAACCTCACACTGAACCTCACCTGAACCTCACACTGAACCAACCTCACACTGAACCAACCTCACACTGAACCACCTCACACTGAACCACACACTGAACCTCACACTGAACCTCACACTGAACCTCACACTGAACCTCACACTGAACCAACCTCACACTGAACCTCACACTGAACCTCACACTGAACCTCACACTGAACCTCACACTGAACCTCACACTGAACCTCACACTGAACCTCACCTCACACTGAACCTCATCTCACACTGAACCTCACACTGAACCTCACACTGAACCTCACACTGAACCTCACACTGAACCACACACTGAACCTCACACTGAACCTCACCTGAACCTCACACTGAACCTCACACTGAACCTCACACTGAACCTCACACTGAACCTCACCTCACACTGAACCTCACCTCACACTGAACCACACACTGAACCTCACCTCACACTGAACCTCACCTCACACTGAACCTCACACTGAACCTCACACTGAACCACACACTGAACCACACACTGAACCTCACACTGAACCTCACACTGAACCTCACACTGAACCTCACACTGAACCTCACACTGAACCTCACCGAACCTCACAACTGAACCTCACTCACAACGGAACCTCACCTCACACTGAACCACACACTGAACCTCACCTCACACTGAACCTCACCTCACACTGAACCTCACACTGAACCTCACACTGAACCTCACACTGAACCTCACACTGAACCTCACACTGAACCTCACCTCACACTGAACCACACACTGAACCTCACCTCACACTGAACCTCACCTCACACTGAACCTCACACTGAACCTCACACTGAACCTCACACTGAACCTCACACTGAACCACACACTGAACCTCACACTGAACCTCACACTGAACCTCACCTCACACTGAACCTCACCTCACACCTCACCTCACACTGAACCTCACCTCACACTGAACCACACACTAACCTCACCACTGAACACACCACTGAACCTCACACTGAACCTCACACTGAACCTCACACTGAACCTCACACTGAACCTCACACTGAACTACCTCACACTGAACCGCACTCACACTGAACCTCACCCACTGAACCTCACCTCACACTGACACCTCACACTGAACCTCACCTCACACTGAACCTCACACTGAACCTCACACTGAACCACACACTGAACCTCACACTGAACCTCACACTGAACACACAATGAACCTCACACTGAACCTCACACTGAACCTCACTCACCACTGAACCTCACACTGAACCTCATCCTACACTGAACCTCACACTGAAACCTCACACTGAACCTCACACTGAACCTCACACTGAACCACACACTGAACCTCACACTGAACCCTCACACTGAACCTCACACTGAACCTCACACTGAACCTCACACTGAACCTCAACACACTGAACCTCACACTGAACCTCACACTGGAACCTCACACTGAACCTCCACACTGAACCTCACACTGAACCTCACACTGAACCTCACACTGAACCCCACACTGAACCTCACCCCACTGAACCTCACCTCACACTGAACCACACACTGAACCACACACTGAACTCACCTCACACTGAACCTCCACACTGAACCTCACACACTGAACCACACACTGAACCCTCACACGAACCTCACACTGAACCTCACACTGAACCTCCCACACAACTGAACCTCACCTCACACTGAACCTCACACTGAACCTCACACTGAACCTCACACTGAACCTCACACTGAACCTCACACTGAACTCACACTGAACCTCACACTGAACCCACACTGAACCTCACACTGGAACCATCCACACTGAACCTCACACTGAACCTCACACTGAACCACACACTGAACCACACAACTGAACCTCACACTGAACCTCACACTGAACCTCACACTGAACCCTTCACCACTGAACCTCACACGAACCTCACACTGAACCCACACTGAACCTCACACTGAACCTCACACTGAACTCACACTGAACCTCACACTGAACCTACCCTCACACTGACCCTCACACTGAACCTCACACTGAACCTCACACTGAACCTCACACTGAACCTCCACACTGAACCTCACACTGAACCTCACACTGAACCTCACACTGAACCTCACACTGAACCCTCACACTGAACCACACACTGAACCTCACACTGAACCTCACACTGAACCTCACACTGAACCTCACACTGAACCTCACACTGAACACACACTGAACCTCACACTGAACCTCACACTGAACCTCACACTGAACCTCACACTGAACCCTCACACTGAACCTCACACTGAACCTCACACTGAACCTCACCTACTCACACTGAACCTCACCTTCACCTAACCTCACACTAATCACAATGACCTCACACTGACCCTCATCTCACACTGAACCTCACACTGAACCTCACACTGAACCTCACACTGAACCTCACACTGAACCTCACACTGAACCACACACTGAACCTCACACTGAACCTCACACTGAACCTCACACTGAACCTCACACTGAACCTCACACTGAACCACACACTGAACCTCACACTGAACCTCACACTGAACCTCACACTGAACCAACCTCACACTGAACCAACCTCACACTGAACCAACCTCACACTGAACCTCACACTGAACCTCACACTGAACCTCACACTGAACCTCACACTGAACCTCACACTGAACCAACCTCACACTGAACCTCACACTGAACCTCACACTGAACCTCACACTGAACCTCACACTGAACCTCACACTGAACCTACACAAGATAAATATATCCTCATTGTTGACACAAAGAGAGACCAACAGTGAACTTTGCAATTTTACCATAAACAAGACCAAAAGAGAAATGGGGAGCAACATTTATTTTGAAAGATGCAGACAACCTGAACTGCCGGCTATAAAGCAGCTACAGTTTTATGTGTAGATACTTTATTCATCCCACATTGGGAAATTATTGTGTTACAGGAGCAGCTGTGTGTTTAGACATAATAAAATGAAAAAAGAAATGGTACATTTTAAAATATAAACATACCTGTAGTAGAAAGACATATAACACAAATAATACACAATATAAAAAAGTAATATTAAAACAATATGTACCATTTATCATGGATCTTTTGACAGCTGACCAACCATTGGTCTATGACAGGTGGAGTTCTGTATGCCAGAACAATGAATTCAATCATTCTTAAATACATTTCTGGTGTATTTTCTGTTATTTTGTTACTTTGATTTAGTCAATTTCACATAGCATTGAAACAGTTTCTAAATATGACTTTCTGAAACCTAAGTAGGCTGTGAATACATTTGAACCCATCCATTTTTTTCCGCAGCCTTCCTGGTGTCTGAGTTGGAGGCGTCGAGGATGATCCTCGTTAATAAGCCTGAAAAGAAAAGCCAGGAGTCGGGCAGCCCCATGTTCCTGGAGCTGAAGGGCATCTGCATGGCCCTGGGCATGTCCAAGCCTCCAGCCAACATCACCATGTTCCAGTTCTTCAGCGGCATAGAGAAGAAGGTCAGTAGGTCTGGAGACAGACGATAGATGCTCTGACAAGAAAAGCTGAACAGGGTTTAGCTGCATCTCAAGCTGCCATTCCTTCGGAGTTCCTGACAGTAGCTGCAGAAAACACTCCAGTGCTGTCGGATTGTAAAAGTCATAGTGTGTCATCGATCATTTGAATCTTTTTCTCAATGCCTTTTTATTGTTTTTTATGTTTAGGCATAAACATGCCAATGGTAAATTAAGTAATAAGATATTATTCTTTAAATTGTAAAAAATAATCAGTTAAAAGTCCTGCATTTAAAATCTTATTTAAGTAAAAGCACAATAGTATTTGCATCAAAATATACTAAAAGTAAAAGTAGTTGTTAAGCATAACGGTCCATTTCAGAATCATATATGTTTATTAAATTACTGTATTACAGCGCCAGAAAAAATGAAGAGACCGCTCCAAATTGTTCTTAAATCTCAATCTCTACATGTATGGCAGCCATTCCATTCCAGTGTCTGTTGAATTCCAACACAGAGAAATGTTTTCAGTAGTTTATAGAATAAAATAAAAAGATGTTCATTTGACTTAAACACATATAAATAGTGAAACCAGAGGAACCGATAATGCTGCAGGGGTCTCTTATTTCCAGAGCTGTATGTTTGTTTTCACCTTTAGTCTATCACAGCTGCTAAAGGTTGCACTCATTTGAATTACTTTAATACTGCTGCTGGATTATTTTATATTTATTGTTTAGTGTATTGTAGTGTAGTTTTTGCAAAGGTATAATCTTAATCTGTAAAGTAGCTAAATCAGACAGATAAATGTAATGGAGTAAAAAATACATTTTTGACTTCTAAATGTAGTAGAGTAGAAATATATAAAGTAGCATAACATTGAAAAATACACAGGTCTCGTATAAATGCCTCATAATTATACTTGTGTACAGTACATGAATAAATGTACAACAATGTGTCTTGTGTGAGAACAACATGAGCCTTACACATTGCTATCCTAAGTGTGGTTTAATATGTTGTATTTTCTGTTTGATCTCCATTGAAATGTCCATATATCTTCCCAGCTGAAAGAAGCCATGAGTAAAGTCCCACCACATCACGTAGGAGAGCCTCTGATGAAGAAGGCCCTTGGACCTGTGCACGTGGTGAATACTGAAACACTATCAAGAAACAGAACGTTTTTAAGGAACATACAACAAATAACAATACATTAACATTCTCTCTTTTCCAGGAAAAAATTGAAGCCATCAACCAAGCACTTGTGAAGGAGTATGAAATGAGAAGGAAAATGTTGTTGAAACGTCTCGATGTGACCGTGCAGTCCTTCGGTTGGTCTGACAGAGCCAAGGTACGTGGAAGCTTCCTCAATGTGGATGAAGCACAACTGAAGCATTTCACAGAGGACGCCTGGACACTTTGTGTTTACTTAGCAATATCTAGGTTGGGCCCCTCTTGTTCACGTGTGTGTTCTTCGCCCTGCTGAGGGGAGAAAGGAGTTTAACAAGGGAAGGAAACTGAATGCAAAAATGTAAATGCCATACATGGACACCGAAAGCATGTAGATGCATTAGAAAACGATTACTTACGATTATTGTCAATATCAATTAGTATGACTATTGTTGATTAATTGTTTATTTTTTATAAAACATGAAAATGCTTTCACTATTTTCTAATCGATTTTATTTTTGTGTCATTCCATTAAATCAATCCAAGTGGACTACATGATACAATATTATACCGTTTAATCGCTGCTTCTGATTGACTATCATATTCAAAAATAGATCAAATCAATCCTGCACACCACAAGTGGTACATATATATAAAACATGGCGGATATATTGATTGTTGTCTCATAAAATGAAAACCCTCCCTTGTGTTTGTCTCTTTACAGACGCATGCTGAGAAGTTGGCCAGTGTTTACCAGCCGCTGCGTTCTGCTCTCTGCACCAAAAGTAACATCTCTGTCGCTCACCTCCTCGCTGCTCGACAAGACTTCTCCAAGATCCTGCGCACGAGCAGTGGCAAGATCCGGGAGAAGACTGCCTGTGCCATTAATAAGGTAGGTTAAAAACTGAGGAGTCAACAGTTTTCATGCAATATTCAATGCTGTGCATTCCCCTCTCTGTTTACAAGTGCAAGAAGTAATGTTCTCATGACTGTTCTGTGTCGCTTAGCACATGTTTGGCCATTAAATATGGGCTAAAGCTGTTTGAAGTTAACAGTTCAATAACTGATGATTACATATTACCAGTGCAGTGGCTGTTTGTAGCGTGTGTGCTCAACACTGCCCCCCCCCCCTGGGTCCTCTGCAAAACACTTGCCAAGCATTTGAGGAAACTTTGAGAGCCAGCTATAGCTTATCTCTAAGGACAATTACAAATCTGTTAGTCCAGAGATATACGACTCAATACATAATTGAGGAAGTCACATATGATCTAATCAATAGCTCTTATTATGTATGTCTCTCAGTCTCCACAATGATTTCAAGAATCACCAATGTGTAGTTGAATGTATACTGTATATTCCTCTGAGCCTTGATAATGAAATGAATATCAAGGCTCAGGTTTGAATGAAACAGTTGGTCACTGTAGTGTTTAGTATATGCTGCTCAAACGTTTCCAACAGGAGAAAATAAAGGATGAATTTGTTAGGCGATCTGATCATTGTATGATTACACATTTGATGCTCTTAGAAATGTTTAAACTATTTTATATATATATATATATATATATATATATATATATATATATATATAATATATATGTATA